ATTGAAGGAGAGACAGTTACGGAGACAGCAGAGAGAGAGAGAGAGAGAGAGAGAGAGAGAGAGAGAGAGAGGAGACGGATATAGAGGGAAGAAAAAATTGCAAGGTTACACACACACACACACACACACACACAGAGGCTGGGAGAGCTGGGAGAGACGAGAGATTGAATAAATGGCAACCGGCTTGGCTCTCGTTCTACCTTCGTCCGTCCAAGACAACAGCCGTCCTGGGTGGAGAAGCCGCTCGAGAGCACTGAACGTGGGTGGCGAGAGAGCCCGCAAACATCCTTTCACGTGTAATCCCGCACGTGAGGGATTTACACAGCCCGAGAGTGGGGACTGACACAGCTGGCGTCCCTGGGTGGGCCAGAACTACCAACTAAAGGTAAGAAGAGAGAGTCGCCCAGAGAGCCCGAGAACATCCTTGAGTGTGTAATCCCCACATGAGAGGGGTTTTCACAGCCCAAGAGAGGGGGGTTTACACACCAGAATCACTGAGCTGAAGGGCTGGGATTCAAATCAGGTGGTCTGGCTATGGGGCCTTTGGGGGAAAGGAGAGAATGACAATCTTTTTTTTAAATTTTTTTTAATTGAATCACAGTGACAAACTCATTTACAAAGTTGTTAATGATTGGATTTCGGCCATATAATGTTGCAACACCTGTCCCTTCTCCAGTGTTCTTCCCCCCACCCCCCACTTTTCTTCTCTTTCTTTAGAGCCTTATAGTTTGTAATCCAGATAATGAAAGGTTATCAGGTATATCCCTTTACCTACTTTCAACACTCAGTTCCTGGAGCACGACAATCTGATTTGTATCTTGTCAGTGGTTTCTGGCAACCGGAATCAGCCATTCTCTCCACTCGTTTTCCCTCTTTCCCATCCTCTCTTGGACTGTGGTGCTCCTCCATTCGGATTGCAGTTGCAAACTTTGGTGGTATGCACATCTTTCCCAGGGGTCACAGCTGGTTGTGGTGCTTGTGTATCCTTTATAGTTGCAGTGCTCTGTGGGGCTGCAGTGAAACTGGCTGCTGTGCAGCTAGAAATCCCATGCAGTGCTGGGTATCAGAGTTGAGCTATAGGATTGTGCTCATGAGGCAGCACCGGGGATTGAACTCAAGATCACACGCTTGCAAGGCATTATAGTCCTTCCTGCAAAAGGCCCTTCCCTAGCACTAATATTCAATTAAGTGTTTTAATCCCAACATCCTGATGGGCGGGACCTAAGGCAAAGTCTGGGACTGAGAGGCAGACCGGGGTCTGTTGCTTTGCATTTGACAGGTTGGCCAAATTTGAGATTTGTCAAATCTCTATTGGGAGGGGGGACACACCTGGCTGTGCTCAGGGCCTACACCTGATTTTGCACTCCGGTGTCATCACTCTTGTCAGAGCTTGGGGAACCAGATGGATTGTTGGGGATGGAACATGGGTCAGCTGCATGCGAGGTCAACACCCTACCCTACCCACTGTACTCTCTCCACCGGATTTTTCCCCCCAGTTTTGGGTCAACACTCAGCATTGCTCAGGGCTTACTCCTGCATAGTGTCAAGTATCGAACCCGCGTTTGTCCCGTGAAAGGTAAGTGCCTTACTCGCTGTATTATCTCTGCAGCCCCAACTCCCCTCTTTGTGTCAATATGCCAAGGGGAGTCCCAGTCTGGTGACCCTCTGGTGACCAAGCAAACGAGCCCAAACGTGACCATCTGGGTGAAGGCATCAAAGCTGGCGAACCTCGCTGATTGACGGAACACGAGTGAGGAGCAGCTAAGCTTTGCACACGCAGGGGTGAGGCTCCTCTCACGCCGCACCCGCACCCCAGGCGGGGATGCTGGGGCAGGAGCGTCGGCGCGGAGCTGGGCAGAGGGCCCCGCGGGGGTCTTGGCCCTCTTTCAGCTCGGAGGGGCACCGCCTGCCCGGGACCCCCCGGCGTCGTGCAGGGACTGACCCGAGGCCCGGCCGCCGCCCTCCCCCAGATCTGACCGCGCAGGACCCCCGTGGGCGACGCCCTCTCCCTCCCGGCCCTTGGAATCCCATCGCAGAGACTCCAGAATCTTCCTTTCATCTCCCAGCTTCGGCGCCGGGGTCGGAAAGCCCACGTGCCGCCTCTCCCGCCGCGCGCTTTCAAAGCACGTCCGGCCGCGGCTTCCGGGTGAGCCTCTCGCGGGAGGCGCGGCGGGGGGAGCGAGCCCCGCCCCTCCCGGCGCTCGCCCCGCCCCTCCCCGTCGCTCGTCCCGCCCCTCCCGGCACTAGCCCCTCCCCTCCCCGGTGCTCGCCCCGCCCCTCCCGGCGCTCGCCCCGCCCCTCCCCGGCGCTCGCCCCTCCCCTCCCCGGCGCTCGCCCCGCCCCTCCCGGCGCTAGCCCCTCCCCTCCCCGGTGCTCGCCCCGCCCCTCCCCGGCGCTCGCCCCGCCCCTCCCGGCGCTCGCCCCGCCCCTCCCCGGCGCTCGCCCCGCCCCCCAGCGCGGACCGCGCCTGCGCAGCAGGGCCGGCAGGCGGCCCTCGACCACTCGGCACTCGCCGGGCGTCCGTCCGCCGGACTTCCGGTTCCGGCGCCGCCTCAGGCGCGCCTGCCGAGCGCCGCGCAGTCGATGGTGGCGGCGGCGGCGGCTCCCGCTCCCGCGGCGGCGTGAGGGGAGCGCGGCGGAGGCCCCGAGCCCGGGCCCGAGAGGCGGCGGCGAGTCCCCGGGAGCGCGCGGCCCGATTCCAGGGTCCGCGCCGGGCCTGAGGAGCGGGGCCGCGGCGGCGCGGGGGTGGGTGTGACGCCCGGGACGTGCGCGTCGCGCTGCCGGTGGGACCCGCGGGGTGGGGGCCCGGGTCGCGCGTGGGGGCGCGGAGGACGCGGCCCGGGTGGGTCCGGCCCGCGGGGCCGCCGAGGGCGTCTTGGGTCCTAGCGCCGGTGTGTGACCGCCCCGGGGGCCCGCGGCCTCGGGCGGCTCCCGGGGTCGGCGCGGCCGGGACAGCGTGTGTCCCCCGGGGCCGCCGCTCCCGGACGCGGAGGGGACGCGGGGGGCGGTCGGGGCGGGGGGCGGGGACGCGCGCGCCGGGCGCTCTGCAGAGGGGGCTCCGTCTGCAGGGGCATCGCCTCGGCTGTTTGGGCCGGAGGAGACCGCGGGGTCCTGGTGGGCTGTGTGGTGTGTTTTGGGGGGGATCCCCGCCGCCGAGCCCCGCCCGGAGACCCTCCTCCGCAGTGACCCTCCAGCGGGGTTCCTCTGTGCTGTGGCCAGTGGCCCCGGGCTTGGGGAAGAAGACTTTGCTGCCCTGGGGGGCATGGATTGGTCTGGAATCTGGGTGAGATGACATTGGAAGTGGCTCTTCAGGGCCAGGAAAGCAGAGCTTGGAACCGATGAAGGGATGAAGCTCCGCAGAACTCGGGTCCTTTCCAAGTCGTGAGAACTACTGCTGGTCGGGTTGCTGCTGCTCGGCTTTCTTTTTCTTTCTTTTTTTAAAAAATTTTTATTAGTGAAACGTCATGAGGTATAGTTGTAGACTTACACATTTTTGTGCTTGGGTTTCAGTTATGCAATGATCAAGTACCCATCCCTCCACCAGTGCCCATTCTCCACCACCAATGGTCACAGTATCCTTCCCACCCTCCATCCCCCCCATCCCACCCCTTCTCTGTGGCTGGGCATGCCCTTTTGTTCTCTCTCTCCTTTTGGGTGCTGTGGTTTGCAAAAGAGGCATTGAGTGGCAATCTTGTTCGGTCTATAGTCTACTTCTGCATGCCTCTCCCATCCTGGAGGATCCTCCCAACACCCTGTATTTGGTGCTCCCTTCTCTTATCTGAGCAGCCTTTTCCCCTAGTGTGTGCGGCTGGCCTCCAGGCCATGGAGTGAACCTCCTGGTACTTATCTCGCTGCCCAGCTTTCTTGCTGGTTTATAAAACCTAGGGAGTTGGCAGGAGAGGACATGCAGGACAAATCTAAGACAGTCGATTTTTCTTTTTGTCCCCTGGCCTTTCTAAATCCTCCCACATCCTTAAATTGAAGTTGGGGTTTCTGTAGTTTTTGTTCTCTTTTGTTATGTAGGGCCACACCTGGCTGTGCTCAGGGGACCATACGGGAGGCGTCCTCCCCTCTGTGTCATCACTCTGTCCCCAAGTGGTTTTTGTTCTTAGGGCGACCATTGAGTATTTCATCTTTGTGGGTTTTTTTTTTTTTTTGGCTTTTTTTGGGTCACACCCGGCGATGCACAGGTGTTCTTCCTGGCTCTGCACTCAGGAATCACCCCTGGCGGTGCTCGGGGGACCATATGGGATGCTGGGAATCGCACCCGGGTCGACCGCTTGCAAGGCAAACACCCTACCTGCTGTGCTATTGCTCCAGCCCCTCATCTTTGCGTTTTAACACAGTGGCGAGCCGATGCATTTGCTGAGGGTTAGAGATAAACTCTTTGCTCCTGGTTAAGTATTTCAGGCATTTCCCCGTGGCTAAGGTGGGGGACAGACTGTGTATGAAGTGGGGCCATCTGGAATGAATTTTGGAGACTTGCCTTCATGTTGCGTTTGCTGAAGTCGGTTTCCTTATCGTCAAGGATCTTGGCTCCCACTTCATCGGGGGCCGTTGTTCTGCGATGTTCTGGTTCTTGCATTTTAGAGCTTGTTCTTGTCTCTCTGATGTGCCTTGTGGCCTCAGGATCCTGGCAAGAAATGTCTCTGTTTCTATGGAATGGCTTTGTTCAGTCTCTCAGTGACTGAGGGGATGTTGGGAGTGACTTGGCCAGGGCTCGTAAGACAAAACAGTAACTTTCTAAGCCACCGTCCTTTGCCTGCCAAATTCCTGGCAGCTTTCTGCAAACTCGTATTGAAGAGACACTAAGTGTCCTCCCTGAATCGTGCGTGGGCAGAGTGCTGACGATCAGTCTCCATGGCTGTGCTGGGCTTGACTTGACTCCCTTCCCTTCTTCCTTCTCAGGCCTCCTCTGCTCCAGTGCGAAACCTCACCCCGGGTCACGATGCCTCGTCCCCGTCATCCCCTTGCTGCTGGGTTAAGCTGATACGGTGGCAGCCCCGAGCAGGAATCAAGCTGACCTTTGGCATGCGGCCCCTGTCTCGGGGCTAGACCGACTGTCCGCCATGGCTTCTCTGGAAGACCCCGGCGACGTGAGGGAGGGCTTCCTTTGCCCTTTGTGCCTGAAGGACCTACAGTCCTTCTATCAGCTCCAGTCACATTATGAGGAAGAGCACTCGGGGGAGGATCGTGACGTCAAAGGGCAAATTAAAAGTAAGAGCCTTTTGCTTATTCCGTTCTGCCTGTGAAAGTTGTCATTTGTAGGATGGTTTTTGTGAGCCTCCATGTTGCTGTCAGAACATGATAATAGCCATAGTAAATTAACACTAATATCTCTAATAGTATCAAACATATATTTCGTGCTTTCCACAAGCCCAGCAGTGTTCCAGCTCTTCCAGTATTAGCTTCATGCGATTCTCCCAATAACTGTGGCTCTGAGCCCTGCATTGCTGAGGATACCAGACACAGTGAAAATAACATTAGCTGGGGCGGGAGAGAGTTTAGGGGCTGCAGCCGATCATGGCACTGCCAGGAGTGAGCCCTGAGCACAGATGGAGAGGTACCCCTTGAGCAGCACTGAGAGTGGCCTCAAATCAGTCTGTCAATAACGTGGCTGGGTCTGGAGAGAAAATAGAGGGGTGAAGGTGCTTGGCTTGTATGTGGGCTACCCAGGTTCCATCCCTCGCATCACAAGGTTCCCTGAAGCCTCCTAAGAGGCCTCCTGAGTATAGCTTGGGAGACCCCTTGCTGCTCCCCTAAATAAAAGAACAAGAACAAAATAACTTGACTGACCTCACACCATGAGACATTCACTACCTTGTTTTGAACATAGTAAATATGATTATTACGCTCCGCTCTTCTCTCTTGATTTGGAGTATTTAACTTACCATCTAAAGAGGATTTGGGGGTGATATTTTCTTTTTCTCCCCTGAAATCTCCAAGCCTGCTCAGATCGGGGCTGAGCATCCTCTACCCAGATCCTCCATCTTCAAGTAGGCAGGGGTCACACCCACCAACTGGCCCCCTGGCGCCATGTAATCCCATCAACGGCCAAGACCCAGAGTCTATAAAACCCAGCTTCTGGAAGTGCGCGGCCGCGAATCTCATTCTTACTTTGGACAACCTAGCAGGTTACCAGATGTTACCTGCCCACATGGCAGAGTCTGGCAAACTCCCCATGGCGTACCCTATATGCCAAATACCAGTAACAATGATGGGTCTCATTCTCCTAACCCTGAGAGAGCCTTGAATATGGCACTTTTTAAAAATCTCAGGGCTAGGACGAAGGAGACGTTACTGGGGCCTGCTCGAGGCAATCGACGAACGACAGGATGATCGTGATTGTGACCCCTGAAAATGAAGGCACATTGGGCCACTTCTTGTTTTTTTGCGGGGAGTCCACCTGGAGTTCTGGAGGCTACTCCTAGGTTGGTGCTCCAGGATTGCTCCCGGGGGCTATGATATCTGCATGGTGGACATCAAACCTGGGCCTTGCACATACAAAGCGTATATATGCTCTGTCACAATTCCCACCACCTCCCCTCCTTCAAGTGGACCTTGTTCTTTGGGAAAAGAAGGCCATACAAAAAATGAGGAGAAACAGCCTCAAAAGTTAAAATGTGGATTTTGAGCTTCCCAAGGTCTAAGTCATAGACCAGTTACACGAAGAATTTTTCAAAATAATTTTGATTATAGTTATCCTAGACTTCAGATTGTAATTTCTAAATATGATGCTCAGGTGATTCAGGTAACCTGCTTATCCCAGCATTTCTGAAAGTGATGGGGATTCAGAAGGTCTGGATACCGGGGCTGGAGCAATAGCACAGTGGGAGGGCACTTGCCTTGCATGCAGCTGCCCTGGGGTCAATCCCCGGCACCCCATGTGGTCCCCTGGTCCCACCAGTACTTAGTCCTGAGCGCAGAGCCAGGAGTAAACCCTGAGCATGACCGGGTGTGACCTCAAACCCAAAAAAGTTAAAAAGATCTGGATACTATATTTACAGTTTGTTCGGTGGGAGAGAAAGGAGTTATATAGTCCTAGGTGGTTAGAGGCTTTCGCATAGGAGGGTCACATGTGCCAGTCATCAAATCAACTCATTCCCTGCCTCACCAGTTTGTCGTTGCAAACAGCATTTATAGCAACTATCCAAAACCGTGACCAAGTCAGACATCATAATGACATTCTCCAGTGTCTCCTGAGGACTTGTGATGGCAGCTGTTGATCGTTGAGGTTGGGGCAGAGCCTTCGAACCCACGAAGACCAAAACCAGAGCACTGCCTGTCAGAGATTTGAGAATCCTTTTAATCTGCATCACTCCATCGGATTCTCCCAACAACACAGGGACATGTTGTTTCTCGTTACATATTGTGTAGGGACACATTATTTCTCTTTGCCCACAGAAGCTGCATTTCATCCAAGGTCACACAGGAATTGGCAGTTCCACCTGGAACCAGGTGGTGACCTCTCAATCTAGCCCTGCTTTTTCCACCCAGTGTTGCTGATACGCGGATCTTTAGTGCTATCACAGTTTATCAGCGCTGGGACGCAAACTGATGATTTGCTTTTCCTTGGCCACCTAAAGGCCACCAGGCTTTTCAGTGGCTTGTCCTATTTTCAGCTGAACTGAGTCAGTAGATACTTTGATGCCAATAGGAGGAGATAGGAGAGTACTGTTAGGTCCCTGTGAGGAGTATATTATCAGAGGGAATGTTTAAGATTATTTTGACAAAAGTAGATATGGGAATTTATTCATTTTTTTGGGGGGGAGGGGGAGAGGGTTGGTACCACACTCAGCAGTGTTAACTCCTGGCCTTTCATTTAGGGATCTGGGGGTCATATATATGGGGTCCCGGGCATTGAACCTGGGTTGACCTCATGCAGGCCGAGCACCCTACCTGCTGTACTATTTGTACTATTTGTGTTTGCGTTCCTCTGGTGGTGCTCAGGGGAACTGTGTGGTGCCAGGAATCGATCTGGGGCCTCCACATCTAAAGCTTGTATTCAGCCTGTTGAGCTTTCTATGACCTCAGGAAAATAAATTTTAAAAGATGAAATTAAGAGATTTTTGCAAAATCCTTGCGGACCCGAGTTCGATTCCTCCGCCCCTCTCGGAGAGCGCGGCAAGCTACCTAGAGTATCTCGCCCGCACGGCAGAGCCTGGCAAGGTCCCCGTGATGTATTCGATATGCCAGACACAGTAACAACAAAGTCTCCAATGGAGACGTTACTGGGCCCGCTCGAGCAAATCGATGAACAGCGGGAGGGCCTTTACCTTTACCTTCCCTTTTAAAAAAGCAGGTTACCTCTCCTTTTGGATGTTTAGTTCTGAAAAATTCTAGAGCATTGCTGGTCTGAAGCCAATAAAACGCTCAGGCCCCCAAAGCAAGCCTCGATCCATCAGGTTTCAGAGGGAGTTTACAAAAGAAAATGTAAGTTTGTCATTTACTAAAAGGTCAGTGAGTTTGAACCACAGCCGTTGGCACGTCAGTGGTGAGTCGAAGTAACAATAGTTGAAAACTAGCTCTGGCTTCTGCTTTGTGATTTTGAGAACACTTGGGGCTGGAGGGCTAGCTGAGGTATGCCCTATGTGTCTAGCGCTGGGGTCAGCAGCACTGGAGTGACACTGCATCAAGGGCCCCAGCGATAAATTGTCTGGCAGCTTTGCTGAGTGTGGCCGCAGGGTTCCCCGAGCAATCTCCCTGCAGATGCAGTTCCACTCTTGCCGGGCTACCCCCACTCTGGGAAGATTGCTGAGCAGTTTTTCCATGTCTCTGTAGTGGTGGTGTGCCATAGACGGTCGTGGACTTGACAGGGTTTGATTTGTAAAAATGAATTGGTGAGGTCATCTCTGTTGTCAGGTCACCTCAGCACTGCCACCCCCCAAGGCCTGGTCCGCTGCGTTTCTGCCCCATATTGGGTTCTGTAATGAAAAGCGTTACGCCATGCTAACCCTTGTGGAAACGCATGCACCCTGTCTTTTCAAAGCCCCTTCTCCCTCTGTGAGTTGTTCCTCTCCCCGTTTATTTATAAATGCCAGTTTTTTTTTGTTTGTTTGTTTGGTTCGGTTTTAGTTCAAGGTCAATGTGTCGTAGACCTAAATGCAACCCTATTCCTTAGTCTAATAGTATAGGTATATTACAAGAATGAGTATTTTACTTGGCTTTAGAATGTTTTACCAGGGAAAAAAGAACAATAATGATTCTTAACTGATCATGTCCTTGCTACTAAAGAAAAATGTTTTGTGTTTTTCTGCTCATGATGTTGTGCCTCTGAATCATCATTTTCGTTGTAGAAAATGGACTGAGTTTATATTAGACTTAGAAACTAATAATCACTTGTATCACTTGTCATCCCGTTGTTCATCGATTTGCTTAAGCGGGCACCAGTAATGTCTCCATTTGTCCCAGCCCTGAGATTCAGCAGCCTCTCCTTACTCGTCCTTCCCAACAGTGCCGCATTGGGGACTCTCTCAGGGTCAGGGGAATGAGACCTGTTATTGTTACTGTTTTTGGCATATCGAATACGTCACGGGTAGCTTGCCAGGTTCTCCAAGAGGGGCGGGGGCAGGAGATTCTAACAAGAATTTCTAACAAGAAATTCTAACAAGAAACTAATAATACCATTGTAAATTTATGAGATGATTTTAACAGAAAAAAATTATAGAAGAATATAATAATTTTAATTGTAATATTACTAATTGTAGGGTGAGGGGGTCCCATTTTGCTGAATTTCCTTAGAGCTTGTTACTTAGTTTCTTTTTTGTTCATTTTTTCGGTCTCTGAGGTAAAACGAGTTATTAATGAAAATCTGTAAGCTCACATATTCATATTGGATATATGTAGAAATGTAATCACACTTTGTCTCGGAACTACATGAAACTGGAATCACTGTAAAAAAAAAAATTGAATTGGTGTTTGCTGTCTCCAGTCTACTGTGAGTAGTAGTCTACTACTAGTCTACTGTCGGCATAAAGACCCTTTATGCTGACACTGCCCCCCACACTCCCACCCCCGTCTTAAAAGTGATTGTTTTAAGACATTTCAGAGCGTGTCATTTGGCTCTTTAGTTGTTTTTCCATTTCATACTAGTCACTTTGAATCTGGGAATCTGACTCGTTGACTGATAAGGAGTGCCTGTGACTTACTGACTTTACTTCCTGCTTGCAAGTCCCTCCATATCAATATAGACTTCAGATTTTTTTGTTTGTCTTCGGGCTATGCCTGGCTGTGTTCAGCGCTCTCTGCTGATGGGGCCCAGGGAAACTTATGGGGTGTCGGGGTACGAACTGGGTTGACTGGGCCTGGAGCAATAGCGCAGTGGGCAGGGCGTTTGCCTTGCAGTGGGTGGTCGATCAGTGGGTGGTACAGCACCACATTTGGTCCCCCAGACCTGCCAGTTATGACCCCTGAGAACAGTGCCAGGAATAAGCCCCAAGCACTACCGCACGTGACCTCCAAAACAAAAAGGTAAATAGTAATAAGGACTGGACATGAGGCGCAAACGGTAGATGCCCCCTCCGCGCCCACACTGCTGAGATGATCACTACCGGGAGCCCCAGGCCTGCGCCTCCCCGGCACTGTCGTGTATGGGTGTCTCCTACTAATTAAGTACATTACCGAGAGCACCCTAGAGTTAAGAGTTAATTCTTTTTTTCTCCCCCAATTAAGTGATGTTTAATATATATATATATATATATATTTGGTGGGGAGGAGGGGCAGTGCACACCTGGCTGTGCTCAGGGCTTCCTCCTGGCTCTGTACTTAGGAATTGGGTGACCATGTGGGTTGCTGGGGACCACTCCTGGGGCGGCTGCAATCAAGTCAGGTGCCCTACTCCCTGTACTCTTGTTCCAGCCCCTTACCCGTTTTTGTGTGGTTTGGTTTTGGTTTTTGGGCCACACCCAGCAGTGCTCAGGGTTACATCTGGCTCTGCACTCAGGAATCACTTCTGGTGGTGCTCCGGAACCATATGGGATGCCAGGGATCGAACCCAAGTTGGCCGCGTGCAGGACTAGTGCCCTCCCTGCCGTAGTCTCTCTCCAGACCCAAATCTTTGATCAGTGCATTTTGGTTTGGTTCGGTTTGATCTTGGTCGCATCCACCAGCGCTCAGGGCTCCTTTCCTCTGGCTCTGCTCAGGTTTCGTTCCCAGCAGTGCCTGGGCACCATGTGGCTGCCAGCATTTGAACCAGGGTTGATGCAGGCAAGGCAAGAACTACCCCGGTGCTGTCTCTCCAGCCTCTGTTGTTTGATTTCAACGGCAGGTCACTATCACTGGTGACAGACTCCTGTCGAGGCTGGTTTTCATGGAGATGCAGGCCGGGGATTGGACTCAGACTGCCTATAAAGCCTGTGATCGGGTGAAGCACGTTTTTCCTGTTTGTTGTATTCCTTTGCAGGGGGAATATGACCTGCCTCTTAATACTGTGATGATGAATTGGTGTGATATATTTTGTAATTGAAAATGCCTTGCTTTGTTTTTGCTGGATACAAGAAATCAATTAAGAAAACCCTTTTTTAAAAAAGAATTTTTATTAGTGAAACACCATGAGGTATAGTTGTAGACTTAGAAAATTTTTGTGCTTGGGTTTCAGTTATACAATGATCCAGTACCTATCCCTCCACCAGTGCCCATTTTCCACCACCACGGGTCCCAGTATCCCTCCTACCCCTCATCCCCCCATCCCACCCTGTCTCTGTGGCAGGGCATTCCCTTTTGTTTTCTCTCTCTCCTTTTGGGTGTTGTGAAGAAAACCTTTTCTTAACCACCATTTTTTCCCTGTGTATTGTAGGGTTCTATCTGTTTCTGGAAGCTTATTTTTCCTCTCTTGGTAATCTCACACATGTGTTCAGTAGGTGGTTGGGAGTGATGGGGGAAGAAGTACATGCGATTAAAAGTCTTGGGAATACCAACCAGTGAGTGGGTTTGGCAGAATCCCGTCCTAGAGGTAAAAAGAAAGTGTTGACTCATGATATCCCAAGAAAAATTGGTACTACAGAAACTGATTTTTTTTTTACCCACCTTTATTTTAAATTAAGGTACAGTTTACATGTAAATTTTCAAGTGTTCAATTTAGTGAGTTTTGAGAAATATCCGTATCCATGTTAACGTCCTTCCCTATTAGGACATAGGAAAAAAAACACTTCTGGAGCAGGCGAGATCTTTAACACGTCTGTTTAGACTATTGAATACGTCAAAGAGCAGTCAGCTGTATGTTGGCTGCATAAGCCGTCTTGCTGCTGATATTGATGACCGAGTGTATGATCCATGTGTGATATTTGCAATACAGCAGTTGTGCGTGTATTACTGCATTTGGAGGGAGGGTTTCAACAGTTTCTTGACCTTTTAAAAGAAAGCATAATTATTTCATTTGCTCTCGTTTTTGAGATGTCTCTTGACTCTTCCCTAGATATTTTTCAATGATTCAATCTGTGGTGTTTTTTCCCCGTTTTTCCAAGGTCTTGTCCAGAAGGCTAAGAAAGCAAAGAACAGATTATTGAAACGAGAAGGAGATGACCGAACAGAATCAGGGACCCAAGGATATGAGTCTTTCAGCTATGGAGGCGTTGACCCTTACATGTGGGAACCTCAGGAACTTGGTGAGAAAACTGGTTCATTCAGCACTGTTTATTGTTTATTTGTTCTAGGTCATTATTTTGAGAGATGACGATGTCAGTGGTCATCAGTGATCATGAGTTTCTTGTGTGAACCTACTGTGCTAGTGGGGGGAAGAGAATGGGTTGAGCTGGAGAGAGAGTGCAGGTGCTTATCTTGCCTGTTGTTGACCCAGGTTTGATCCCTGGTTCGAGTCCCACCACGAGTGGTCCCTGAGTAGAACCAGAAATAAACCCGGAGCACCATCAGGTGTGGGCCCCAAACCCAAGCCAACAAACGAAAGAGAGGGGCCAGAGTGATAGTCCAGTGGGTAGGGCGCTTGCCTTGCATGTTGCCGACGCCAATCCCTGGCGTCCCTTGTGGTCCCTGTGCAGAGCCAGGAGTAAGCCAACAGCATTGCCTGGTGTGGGCCCAAACCTAAACGAGTGAATGGTGCACCCACCTTATACATAAATTGTTTTATATATGTGCCCTCGTTTCCCCCAGGGTCAGGTAGCTGGCAAAGTGCAGACCTGGGGTATGAGTCTCAGCATCTGACATTAGCCCGAGCAGACCCCATCAACTGATCTCTCACAGAGGAAATTATCTCCTAGTGAGAGGCACTGGTTTGTGCCTAAAACACATAATTATGGTATCATATGCTTTTAAAATAAGGATAAAAGGATCTTTTGGACGAGGAAATGTCTCTGATACAGTGAGACAGCAAAGTACTTAGTTGTATTGATGTTGGGGAGGTTTGTCTGAACTGAGTAAAAGGGTGCCAACTTATCTAGCTCCCCTTGGAATATCCAATAGCATTTATAAATGGGGTGCTCCTTTGAGAAATATTGTTTTATTCTGATGGAAAAAAAACGATTTTGGAGAGTACAGAAAAGTATGATAGTTTTTAAGAAAATAACCAAAATATCCATAATGTCTTTGCCCTTTTTATTTCACAAACCTTCATGTGCCAGGCAGTGTTACAGAAAATTTTAACTTGTTTTCGTTTGTTTGTTGCTTTTTGGGTCACACCCAGTGTTGCACAGGGGTTACTCCTGTTTTCTCTTCACTCAGGAATTACTCCTGGCGGTGCTGGGGGACCATATGGGATGGTGGGAATCGAACCTGGGTTGGCCTCGCGCAAGGCAAACGCACTCCCCGCTGTACTATCGCTCCAGCCCAATTTTAACTTAATCCTCTTAACCACCCTTGAAAGTTGGTACTACTGTTGCCTCATTTTCTGGAGAGTTATAGAGAGGCTAAGTAACTAGTCCCAGGAGTGGGGCGGAAGGGAGCCTGCTCACAGGCTGGCCCCCGAGTCCACGCGCAGGTCACTGTGCCCTGAGGCCTCCCCTGCGTGGTTCACGATAGTGACCCTGGATATGAGGGTGCTCGTAGCAACGCTCCTTCCCTTTGTGTCCTTAGGCATTGAATTTTCAGCAGGAGTCTAAAGTCCTGGGATTGTCACTCGCTTTTGATGCTCACTGAGAATCCGCAGCAAGGGCGAGCGGCGCCCTTGGCCGCCAGACAAGTCATTTCTCTCCTGCCCCCCTTCCTCCCAGGTGCTGTGCGGAGCCATCTCTCTGACTTCAAAAAACACCGAGCTGCCAGAATCGATCACTATGTTGTTGAAGTCAATAAATTAATAATCAGGTTAGAGAAGGTAAATTTTGTTGTTTTTAAACTTTTTTAGCAAGTGAATTTTGGGGGCCGGACGGTGGGGTGGGGGGATTGCATTTTCTGCGTATCGCGGGGACCTGATACTGGCAGGCCGCCCCCACCTTGAGGGCGTGTGAAGGACCTGGCGCTGCTCTCACTGGAGGGAATGGCCTGGGTGACCGACTGGCCGCATAGCCCACTCCCTTTTCCTTCGTCAGAAGCTCACCGGCTCTTGGGATTTCTGCTGTTAGGTTCTTGTCTCTTGGAAGGCAAGAGACGGTGGGGCCTAGTGTGTGTAGCATCAGATGGCAACCAGAATGATTAACTTCGGCTGTGGGTGTATGTGAGAACGCCTGGGCAGCGGTGCACAGTGGTTTTCAGTACTGTGGGCACAGTTTTACTTTGAGCCTAGACATGCTTATGTATAACGCTGGGTTGGGCGGAGCAGCGACATACTCACGTGAACTTAGCTTGAAATGTTCAGAGTCATGATCCGGGATTGGGGGGAATGAATGGGAGTGCCCGTCGCCTTTGGTGGCGGCCGCGTTACATCCTTGCCAACCTCTCTTGCATAAATGGGTAACTGACAGTAAAGAGGGGGGAAGTGGGGTGCGGGAACAGGCACCGCCTCCAGGCAAAGCTCATGAACCTCCTTCCCATATAAAATTATTGCCTATTGACTTTGCAAGGTTGGGGTGGCAGTTAAGACTTGGAACTGCAGATGTGCTTACTCTTGCTTGCTGTCTCTTGCCTATTAAAAAAGGGAAAAAACGTCAACTGGTTGATTCCACTTGGCATTATTTTCTCCTTTCCAGCTCACTGCGTTCGACAGAACCAATACGGAGTCTGCGAAGATCCGAGGTAACTGGGGAACTTTGCTCACATTCACTCTGTACGGTGCTTCTCAAGCGAGTCTCTACCAGGCTTGCTTTGTGGTTTTATTTTGTTCTTCCTAAAGCAATAGAGAAATCTGTGGTGCCTTGGGTCAACGACCAGGATGTCCCCTTTTGTCCTGACTGCGGAAATAAATTCAGCATTCGAAACCGCCGCCACCACTGCCGCCTGTGCGGGTCCATCATGTGTAAGAAATGCATGGAGCTCGTCAGTCTTCCCTTGGCAAGTAGGTGCCGCCAACGTGGGCCCTGGGCCTGGGCTCTAGATAGGAGCACTTTTGTGATTAGTCAGTGATTAACTTGGGTGATGTGGGGGCCTTTTGTGTAAATTGATGGCTCTAGGGGTCTTCATTCACTTGTTGATTCCGTGAAGCCCACTGCACGCTAGACAGTGCTAGGAGTTGGGTGTGATGGTCTTTCACCGGGCCTGAAAATCTTTCCCTGTATCAGTATCTTATAGACTTTGTGGGCCATATTGAAATATGGAGCTAGACATATTTCATCTTCCCCCCACTCCTGTGTTCAGGCCTCTTTGTGGTACTGGGGGGTGGGTTGGGCTTGTGGCACTAGGCATCAAACTCAGGACCTCGTGTGTGCGGGGCGTGTACTTCTGAGCTATTTCCCGGATCTTTTCCAGCACTGCCTTTGATGCTGTAAAAGCTACTTAAGGTCACATGAGACAGGCTGAGGTTGGCTGGCAGGTTGTTCGTTCACATCTGGTCCTATAAGGCGTCATCATTCCCGCAGGGAGCAGAGCCTCAGTGTGATGATAGACGCAGCATCAGGCCCCTAGGAGAGCTGGCCGAATTTTTTGTCAGCTCTGCTTAAAGGTGGCAGGGAAGGCTCGGGGAGACTGAAAGAGTTTGAGAATGGGCAGTGGGCTGGCGTTTTTCCTTAAGATGAAAGTCATCAGTATTTAGGATGTTAGGGAAGAATCTTGAAAGAAACTAGGATTGCAAAGAGGTAGGGTGGAGGACAACGCAAGGTAGAGCGAAGAACAGGCACAAAGGCATGGGAAGTGGAGAGACGCAGGGAAGGTCAGTAGATCAGTAGATGAACAAATAAGGGCCTGAGTGATAGTACGGCAGGGAACACGCTTGCCTTGCATGTGACTGACCTGGGTTCGATGCCCAGCACCCCACGTGGTCGCCTGAGCCCTGCAGGAGTCAGCTCTGAGCACAGAGCCAGGAATAAGCCCTGAGCACTGCTGGGTGTGGTCCAACTCCCCCCCAGCCTTCCCCCCGCCCCCCCAAGTAGTTGGAGAGTGTGGAGGGCCTGTTTGAGAATGGTAGGAAGAGACCACAAAGGCTGGGTGGAACCAGATGGTGTGGAACTTTGAATCTCAGCTGCTTAAATGTTGCTCAAGATGACCTCTTGGGCTTTCAGCCAATTCGAGGACTTAGCAGCGGTTTTGCAGCCCAGAGAATTGCGCTGACTCTGCACGTGCTGTTGGCTGCAGTGTGTTCCTAGAAGCAGATGCTTCCTCCGGGCTCTGGTCCCCCCAGGGTGGGGCATGCTCTTCCCTTGGTGCTGTCCCTTGACCTTAGGTGACATAAGCCGCCTTTGCAGGACATTCTCCACCTTTCTTCTGCTGGGCCGGTCAGCTGACATTTACTGGGTAGCTGCAGCGGGGTGGCCCCACAGGGCCACATGTGTGAACACAACACAGTTTCCGTCCTCAGTTACAGCTTACTGGCTTTGCCGAGGGGTGGGTAGAGACTTGGGACACGGCGGGAAAGTAGATAGAGCCCACAGAGGGGTTATGTGGTCAGAACAGGAAAGAACGGCGTCTTGTTTTTGCCTCGAGGATTTGGGAATGACCCCAGAGGACATGCCATTTGCACGGAGCTTTGGCAGGGGCAGGAGTCAGTGTTTGGGTGTGGGGGACAGGGTGGGCAGCATGCGGGCTGAGTCCGACGTGGACTCATGGCTGCCTCTCTATGCCGTGCCCTCCAGACAAGCTCACCAGCGCCAGCAAGGATTCCCTGAGCGCCCACACCAGCCCCAGCCAGTCCCCTAACAGCGTCCACGGGTCCCGCCGAGGCAGCATCAGCAGCGTGAGCAGCGTGAGCTCCGTCTTGGACGAGAAGGACGATGACCGGATCCGCTGCTGTACGCACTGCAAGGACACGCTGCTGAAGCGCGAGCAGCAGATCGATGAGAAGGAGCACACGCCCGACATCGTGAAGCTCTACGAGGTGCCCGGGGCGTGGGGGTCCTCCTCGTTGCAAGCTTGCGGGGGCAGGAGCGCACTTCGGGGCGTTCTTTCCTTTTGGTCCAGTTTCGGTCTCTGTTAAAGGACCGTGGGGTCATTTCTAGCTGAGACCGTTGGTGGGTCATAGAGTCACGGCACAGCCTGGTTGAAAGCAGGAAGCAGGACGTTAAGAGGCTTGGGCGTCCCCGGAGCAGGGGAGCAGGGAGGAAGGGGCGTTTCCACTGGTACGGACGGGCTCTGTGGTGAAGGCAAAGGCTGACGCTTGTGTAAAACGGGCCAGAAGTGAACTGGAAAACTCGCCGAGATACTTCTGATTACAAGTCTGAGAACATCCAGCTTCCCTTCCCGGTCCCTTGAGATGCCTCAGTTTATCTTCAGGGGCTCTGATTAGTAAACACCATTAGTCAAGCACAATTTGAGAGGAACAGGGTGTAGTGGGCAAACATGGGTCTTGGAGTTAGGATGGCGCTAAGACTGACCTGGCCTCCTCGTGGCCAGGGAGACCTGACATGTGAGCAGGATTGGATGGTCCAGGAGGAGAGTGAGCGGGAAATGGGAGACGAGACCAGCCCCGATAGAGGAAGGACTCCAGAGACGAGCTTGCGCACAGTGCTGAGCACAGAAAGCATGAGTTTGGTAATTGCTAGGGGCGTTCTGAAGGTCGTAATGACACTGCTTCTGGCGACGCCCCGGTCATCAGCAGACTAACAGAAGTGGCGTTGATTCCACCCTGTGCTGAGCTGCAGATAAAGCATTAATCACCTTTATGGAAAGTTCATGACCTGAAAACTCACTTTCTTTGCCATTTGAAGTGAACCTGGAGTCTTGCATCACCTGGCAGAGAAAGACCGTACAGCTAATTACTTTTCTTGATTAATTCATTGGCTTGTGTCCTGGGAGGCCTTGCTCCCTTTAAAATATTCAGGTCAGGGTGAGCACAGCTGGGTGTGATCCAAACCCATCCTCCATCCCTCCTCCCCAAAACTCAGTTCGAACATCACCCTCACTTTCTTTGCTCCTGCTAGAGTTTTGCTTGTAAAGAAGATCTCTGAACCAGGAAATTGATAATAAAGCAAAACCAGCCTAGACATTTTCCCTTTTTAGGAAAATGTTTAGAAAATTGCACATTTTATGTATTTTGGGGGGCCACACCTGGTGATGCTCAGGGGTTATTCCTGGCTCTGTGCCCAGGGCTCACTTCTGGGAGGGCTTGAGGGACTACTGTGTGGGGTACTGGGGATTGAACATGGGTCAACTGCATGCTCCCCCTCCCCAAATTGCACATTTAATTAAAAAAATCTGTTTTTTAATTGCACATTTTAAATGCATCTCTAAATACCCAAAAAGCAGGGTCTAGAGGGGTGGTATTAAAAAAGTTAAGGTTGGGGGGAGGAGAGAGAACACAGTGGTTAAGGTGCTTGCCTTCAACACAGATGACTGATCCCCCAAGCATTGCCAGGAGTGATTCCTGAGTGCAGAGCCAGGAGTAACCCCTGAGCATTGCCAAATGTGGCTCCAAAACAAAACAAAAAATCGAAAAAGGTTAAGGCACTCCATGGCTTAAGGTGCTTAACTTGGCTGAAGAATCCCTGTACTGCATGAGTCCACTGAGCATTGCCAGGATGGCCCTGAGCACAGAGCCAGGTGTGGCCCCCAGAAAGAAAAAATACACCTCAACGCATAGTTTCTGGTAGGGTTTTCCCTTCCTCTCTTCCCTCTTGATTTTTCGCCTTTTGGCCCATGGTGGCACTCGGGCTTGTTGGTGGCTCTGTGCTACGGGGTCACTCCTGGTGGTGCTGGGGACCATATATAGCACCGAGGATCGAACCAGGGTCAACTTCATGCCAGGCAAGCACCTTATCCCTGTACTGTCTCCATGCCCTTGACTCTGTGGAGAACACCACTTACCTCTTCCCTTTTGTTTTTAGAAATTGCGACTTTGCATGGAGAAGGTTGACGTAAAGGCTCCAGAATACATCAGGATGGCAGCGTCGTTAAAGTAAGCTCTCTGCACTTTGTCCTGGCCAGGGTTATGGTTCTCTGACATTTCAGGTCAGTTCATCAGTAGCTTAGATAAGGACCCTAACTCTGGCCACGTGAATCTTTGTCTTGTTGCTCTTTCCAGGGGACAGCCCTTATGGTCCTGTGTGTTTTGATCAGGGGGAGCCTGGGGGTTTTGGTTAAGTGGTTTTGGAAGTGGCATCTGGAGTTGAGAAAGACAGCTTGCCTCACTCGCCTGCCTGTGTAGCTGTCATGTCGGTGGTAATTGGGTGGCAGGTATAGAGCAGGCTTTTCCTCTGGACCTGGAATCGGCAAACTCGGGCCCATACACCAGATTTGGTCTGCTCTGTTTCTTGCTAAGTAAAAGCTATATACCAACCATAGCATTCATCCTTTCAAAGTGTATGTCAGTGACTTTTAGTATATTCACAAAATATTACCACGGTCTTAATGTAAGATTTTTTTTTAAGATTTTTTTTAAATGTTCTAATAAGAAACCCCACACCTATTGGCAGACACTGCACATCCTGCTCATCCCACTTTCCCCAGAACCACCAGCCCAGCTTTTTTTTTTTTTCCTTTCTATTCTTTTCCAAATCCAGTACTCAAGCATACAAAGAACCAGTCTTCTTTCAATTTATGAATTTTCCTATTGGGGATATTTGATAGAAACAAAATATTAAGTACGACCTTCACGTGTGGCTGCCTCACATAAATCTCAGGATTTGTCCATGTATCAGTATTCATTTCTTTGTATGGAGAGGCCCCCTTTTGGTTTTATGTTTTGTGGGCCACGCCTGGCAGTGCTCAGGGCTTGCTTTTGGCTCTGTGCTCAGGGATCACTCCTGGTGATGCTCTGGGACCAGAAGCATTGCCGGGAACAAATCTGGGCCAGCTGTGTGCGAAGCAAGTGCTTTAACACCTGTGCAAACATTGTTTTGGCCCTCAGAGTTGACTTTTGTTTCTCTCTTAGTTTGTTGTTGAACACTTGTGTTTTTTTTTCACTTGGCAATTATGAATGATTCTGTAGATATTTGTGTACAGATGTTTTTGTGGACGTAGATTGTTACTACTCTCGGGAATACTTCTAGAAATGGAGTTGTGGTCGCTCTGTCTTTAGCTACTTGAGGAGCTGTCAGACTGTTTTCCAAAATGACTGTACTGCTGTCCCATCTGCAGCGGGAATAAAGGGTCTGGGGGCTTCAGTTTTTCCACAGTTATGCTAACACTTGCTGTTACCTCTCTTTTTGTTACTAACATTTCATTGGAGCTGTCATGCATTTGATTACTCTTCTACAGCAGCTTCTGCAGAGTTGACAGTTTTGATTTGCAAATTTGTCAGGGCCGAAGAGACAGTGTAGGAGCGTAGGTGCAGGTCTGGGCACCCAACTCTGGTTCGAGCCCTGGTACCTGCTCCTCCAAAACCCTGCGTGGTGGGACCCCAAGCACCACCACAGGATTCGAAAGGCCACTTCCGCCATGTCAGCCAGATACTTGTGAGGGGCCTTCAGTCCTCCGAAGTACCGCTGGGGAGAAAACTCCCCCTTCCAAAAAGGGAAAAAAAAGAGTATTTGTTATCTGGCCACTTGCTGTTTTTTCCGTCTGTTGGTTTTTGGGCCATACCTGACGGTGCTTGAGCTTATTCCTGGCTCTGTGCTCAGTGATCACATGCGGTGCCAGGACCAGTCGCTTGCAAGCGAAGCCCCTTACCCCCTGTACTGTCTCTCCAGACCCCTCCCTCCTTTTTTTATTTTGTTCTCGGGCCACTCCTCTGGTGCTTGGATGTTCTGGATGGTGCTCAGGAGACCACAGCGTATGGTGGATTGATCTTTTGCCTTCCTGCAAAGCCTAATTCCAGCTTCTCCCTGGTTTTGCTGACCCTCTCTTAAGGCATAGTTTTTTTTCTGTTTTTAACCTTCCCATTCGGGCTGGGGCTTCCAGGGCTGCTCTGAGCAGTGTTTGGAGGCCATGCAGTGCCCGGAAGCAAATTCAGGGCTTTATGTTATGCTAGGCATGTGCTCCAGCCCTTCACGCTGTTTCCCTGTCACTGTGGGTTAGGGTTGTAGGAGTTAGAATTTGAAGTACTATTACTGATTTCAGATTTCAGCAGTCTTTTCCTAACCTGTGTGTGTGGAGGGGAGGTGGAGTCAAGGAGAGGGGGGTGAGGGAATCAGTTAATCAGTTATGGTGTTGTGTTCTCAATTTGAGTACTGCCTACTTTTGTCTTTAACTTGCCACTTTCGTAGTAATGTACTTTGTATAGAATAAACTCCTTTAGGGGCTGGAGAGAGCACAGCGGATAGGGTGCTTGCCTTGCATGCTGCTGACCTTGATGACCACGATGCTGGTTTGATCCCCAGCATCTCATATGACCCCCGAGCTCACCAGGAATGATCCCTGAGCACAGAGCCAGGAGTAAGCCCTGAGTACTACCAGGTGTGTCCCAAAAAAGGAAAAAACAAAACAAAACTAAACAACGAAAAACACCTGTTTATACAGAATTTTCTATGTATTATAATTTACATAGAGTATTGGGGCCGGAGTGATAGTACAGCAAGTAGGGCATTTGCCTTGAATGCATCTGACCTGGGTTTGTTCCCCAACATCCCATAAGGTCCCCAAGCACCACCAGGAGTAATTCCTGAGTACAGAGCCAGGAGTGGAACCACTGGGCATTGCCAGGTGTGAACCCTAAAGACAAAAAAAAAATTTACATAGCATATTATCTTCATAACCAGTTATAAAGCATAGTGGTTTGGCATTTCTGAACTGTATTAAGTGATCAACATAATTTGTCTGTTTACCATATGACCAAACTTTAAAATTTGCAATATAATCTTAATTACCTGTGGATTCCATTCCATTCCATTTTCCATCTTTAAGATATTTATAAATGAATTGTTTTTGTGTGTGTGTAGGGTGCATACTCAGTGGTGCTCAGGCCTGTTCCTGGCTCTGTACACAGGGATCACTCCTAGTGGTGCTCGGACCATAGGGCAGTCATATCGTGCTCAGGAGACTGTACATGGTACTGGCCAGCTTGTGTAAGGAAAGCATTCTTAAGACTTGAGTTTTAACTGTCTAGCCCTGTAATTGAAAATTTTTACCTCTTGATCTTATTTGTCAAATATGCCAACTTCCCAACCCCTTGCCTCATTGGTACCCGATATCTGTTTTCTGTCTATGTGAATTTTGTTTTATATGTTAGATTGCACATGAAAGAAAAGCCATACAGGGTTTATCTCTTTGTTTTACTTATTTCCTTCAGTCACCCATGCTTCACAAATGGCAGGTTTCAGGGTTTTGTTTTGTTTTTTATGACTAATCAATATTCCATTGTCTACACACACATGCGCCCGCGCGCGCGCGCGCGCGCGCGCACACACACACACACACCCCCATTGATCATTGGTGGATACTTAATTTTTTTCCACTCCTTGGCTGTTTTTAATAATACTGCAGTGAACATGTATCTTTTCCAATTCGTTTTTCGATTCCTTCAGGTAAGCACCTGGAAGTGACTTTGTTGGCTCGTAGTAGTGCCCTGTTTCCACCAGGAGCGCCTCTTCAATTCTGGGCTGATGGGGCTCCCTGTCCAGTGGGGGCAACTACTGTTCTTCAGTGTGTTTCCCGCTCCTCTCTACAGGCTGGTTCTAGAGGGTTTGTATGCTCTCAGAGATTTGACAGGTTTTGCGTGGGGGGTGGGGGGGCTGGAGCGATAGCACAGCGGGTAGGGCATTTGCCTTGCACACAGCTGACCTGGGTTCGATTCCTCCATCCCTCTTGGAGAGCCTGGCAAGCTACCGAGAGTATTCCACCTGCATGGCAGAACCTGGCAAGCTCTCCATGGTGTATTCAGTATGCTAAAAACAGTAACAACAAGTCTCACAATGGAGACGTTACTGGAGCCCGCTCGAGCAAATTGATGAACAACTGGAGGACAGTGCTTCAGTGTGTTGGGAGGGGTGGGCGAGGGAGTGTCCCAAATGGTATTTTCGGACCCTGGAGAGCCACTCCTGGTGATTTTGGGCCAGCCAGACTGGTGGTTCAATGTGAAGGCCTGAGGATGGGTGCTGAGAGGGCCTGGTGCCAGGGACCACCAGGACCACATCTGGTGGCATGGTGCTCGGGGGCGCCCCGGGCTAGACTGTGATGTGTGGGGCAGATACTTTGAGCGCTAGTTACATTCTAGGTCCCAGGGCTGGGCATTGGACAGTGAAGGCTGTGTTCGTTCTTAAGGATCTTTATTTTGGGGAAAATATTACCAAACAAATGATTTACAGGAGAACTATAGGTGTGATGGTTTCTCTAAGGGGGTTGGAGGGGGTTGGTTGCTGTGACTGAGCCCAGGGGAAGCGACTGGCCAATCTGGGTATTTGCCGCACAACATGGGGATGCCACGATACCGCGTCTGCCCTCACTGCTGGGTTTCTGTTCTGCAACTCTGCCCTGGGGGGCTTTTGTGTTGCAGCACACCACAGGATGTGCCCAGTGGGGTCTGTGTCAGATGACAGAGCAGAGACAGGCAGCCACTCCCTCTGTTTGCCTTGCTGCTGCGTCTGGGAGGAAGTTGAGCTGATCCTTGCTAAGCCAGGATTAATAGCTGTGAAGGTTCCTGAAAGCTGACTCTTTTCAATGAACAGGAGTAAGCCTGGCCCTGGCCCGCTTCTCAGAACAGCCATATGGGCAGCTAGAGTCACACGCCAGAATTCAGGCATCTGCTGGGGTGACAGGCCTCCAGACGAGCGATTCTGGGAGCAAGCGTGTGGTTGCCGCTGCTGTTCCTCTAAGACTGGAATTTGCCCTGAGCTCACGCCCACCCTGGGTGAACTCGGAATTCTTCCCTTCCTCTTCTTGCGTTGGGAGCAAAGTACTAGTTTCACAAGGAGCAGTTATTCATGGGAGCCAGTAGCGGGCTAGTGGACCTGGGGCTCTGCTATCAGGGGTCCAGGCCAGCCTGCTCCATCGTTCGTCTTCTCTTGGAGTGAGAAAGTCAGTTCCTTTTTACCCTGATAGAGTGACCCCATCTCACTTAGCAGACCACGACGTGTGCTTAGTAGCAGGATGAGATTATTGAGGGAAAGTAGACTTGATGGAGAGCTGCAGAGAGCGGCTAGGTTCCTGATGTGAGACCTCCAGCCCGCAGACTCCTCCCACATGCGCAGTCACTGGCGGACACTCAGAGCTGTTCTGTGATCTCTCCTCAGTGCTGGGGAAACGACTTACAGTCTGGAACATGCCAACGACCTCCGAGTGGAAGTGCAGAAAGTGTATGAGCTCATCGATGCTCTGAGGTGAGTCGCCGGGGATGGCTACTGCAGCCTCGGGCCATGGTGCTGCTGGAGCCAGGTGGCCTGAACTCACCAGAGTCTGTGTGAGGGGGAGACTGATGGTGCGTCTGCTCCTGCTGGAACTTCTCAGGAACTTCCGATGAGGGATTTCCAGTGGCCATCTCTGGGCAAGGACCAGGCACGGAGCTGTAAGCTGTGCTCAGGTGTGTGCTGGTCACTGGCTATTTCCACACAGAGACTCGTGTATTCTGTCGAAGTCACCAGGAAAGTGACTTTGCCCGCCTCATCTGCCCGTGGTTCCAGCTAGGATGGGAACTCGGGCTCTTCCTTCAGGTCAGCGGCTGCATGTTTTCCAAGAGCGGACTCAGCCAGCAGTTCCAGGGATGGCACTCTGGGCCTCACGCAGCTGGGCATGTGCTCTCCCCCCGTGAGCCGTCTCTCCAGCCCAGTAGCTGCTTTCTAACGGTGGACTGGCTCTTTGGGGTACTTCAGCCCTCTGAAGTGTAGGAAGGAACAGCATCTCAGAGGGGCGCGGGAAGGAACAGCATGTCAGAGGGACGTGGGAAGGAACAGCATCTCAGAAGGGATAGGAAGGAACAGCATCTCAGAGGGGCGTGGGAAGGAACAGCATCTTGGGAACCCTGACAAGGAACCCTTGTCCATCTCCACAGGCCCATCCTCTGTACCCTTGTGGTGCCATGTGCACGAAGGTGATTATGGAGCACTAAGCCAAGCGCAGGGCCTTTCTGTGTTCAGGACCCTGGGTGGTTGCACAGGTCACTCCCGTGGAGGTGGCCCTTGATGAGTAGATGGTCCTTCCTTCAATGGCCAGGTGTTAGCTGTGTGCCCACGCTGTGTCTTTCCCGCATGGCGGCCTGGCACCCATCATGCTGATGTGTTTGCTCCAATTCAGTAAGAAGATCTTAACCCTGGGCTTGAAACAAGACCCCCCACCGCACCCCAGCTCACTGCGGCTGCAGAGGATGATCAGATACTCGGCGACCCTCTTCGTGCAGGTAAACGTTCCCGTCCCGCTCACTCTCTGCCTTTCGGAAGACAGACTGCCACTGTTCTCTATTTATGTGTTTACTTTTTTGTAAGATTATGAGTTCATTCGACCACATTTAGGGACAAGTCTGGATTCAGGGAAAAGTAAAGCTACTGTTGTAGTGGTGGCGCAGGGCCGGGGGTCACTCCCGTTGGGCCTAGTGATAAGGTGCAGGTGCCTCGGGGCCTGGTGGCGCTGTGCTGTGCTGGGGGTTGAACTCGGATTCTTGTGTGGACAAGGTGTGCATCTCTGATGGTTCAACCATCTCCTGAGTTGAGCCCCTAAAAATTGCTTTCAGTTATATGACCCCAATATACCATTTTTTTTTTTTTGCATTATTACATAAGGTAGTTATCAGGGCATGTTTGCCGGTTTATCTTTCCATCCCTGAATTTGGTCAGAAACAACTCTTTTCCTGGGGGAGAGGAGCCACTTTTTGGAAGCCATTGGAAGCCTGATGAGGATTATACCCAGCAGTGCTCAAGGGCCTGCAGTGCCGGGCACTGCCCCTGGGCCTCACACATGGAAGGCATGTGCTCTGCTCCCTGAGCCACTTAAAGAGGTGGTTTGAGGTTTTTTTTTTTTTTTGCTTTTTGGGTCACACCTGGCGATGCACAGGGTTACTCCTGGCTCTGCGCTCAGGAATTACCCCTGGCGGTACTCAGGGAACCATATGCTGGGTATCGAACCCGGGTCGGCCACGTGCAAGGCAAACACCTTACCCGCTGTGCTATCTCTCCAGCCCTGAGGATTTTTTTTTTGTTGGTTTTTCATTATGGTTTTTGCACCATGTCTGGTGGTGCCTAGGGGCCTACTTCTGGCTGTGAACTCAGGGATCATTCCTAGCAGGCTTGGGGATCATATGGGGGTGCCAGAGATTGAATCCAGTTCAGCCATGTGCAAGGCAAGTAACCTATCCGTTGTACTATCTCTACGGGTCATACCCAGTGATGCCAGGGATTACTCCTGACTGCACTCGGGAATTATTCCTGGCAGTACTCAGGGGACCGTGTGGGATGGCGAGGATTGAACCCAGGTCGGTTGCATGCAATGCAAATGCTCTCCTCGCTGGACTATTGATCTAGCCCCGAGCCTTTTTTTTTTTTTTAGTATCTAATTCTCAGATAGCTCTCCTTTAAATGACTACAGAATGCTTCTTTCACTGTATGTTTCCTCCTTTATCCATCCCCCTTTTTTGACATCTAATGGAGTCCTACAATTTGGAGAATCTCTACTTGCCTCGGCCATTGGTTAGGAGTTAAAAATGTTTGTTCAAGAGCAGAGCTAACAACAGAATGGGAGACTAGCACCCTATAAAAATAGCAGAGATCAGTACCAGGAGGTTTACTCTACGCCTTGGAAGCTGGCCTCACATGCTGGAGGAAAAGGCAGCTTGGCTAGAGAAGGAAACACCAAGTGAAGTGTGGTTGGAGGTCCCGCTTGGGATGGGAGATGCGTGCTGAAAGTCGACCATAGATCGGACACGATGGCCACTCAATGCCGCTGTTGTGCAAACCACAACACCCGAAAGGAGAGAGAGAAAAAAAGGGAATGCCCTGCCACAGAGGCGGGGTGGGGTGGGGGCTACTGGGATCTTCGGTGGTGAATGGGCACTGGTGGAGCGATGGGTACTTGAGCATTGTATGACTGAGACAGAAGCATGAAAGTTTTTAAGTCTGTAACTGTACCCCATGGTGATTAACTAATAAAAAATTAAAAAAAAAAAAGAGCAGAACTAATGTAGGAGATTTCTACCTCAGCTCCTGTTTTCTACTTAGCGGAGAGTTCCAAGTGCTGGCGCGCAGGCTTGGTGCGCATGTATTGTGGCATCTGAGCACCCCTGACTATGCCATGGGCGAGGCCTCCCAGGCAAGCAAGTGACCACAGCCGCAGGGAAGCCAGGCACGAGGTCCCGGTCACTCCCTTTGTGGCTCCTCTCAGAGTGCCTTCGTGTCCAGCCCCAAATGGCAGTGGAGGGACCCTTTCTCTCTCTCTCTCTCTCTCTCTCTGTTTTTTTTTTTTTTTTGCTTTTTGGGTCATACCCAGCGATGCTCAGGGTTACTCCTGGCTCTGAGCTCAGGAATTACTCCTGGTGGTGCTCGGGTGACCATATGGGATGCCAGGGATAGAACCCAGGGATAGAAGCTGTATGCAAGGCAAGCACCCTCCCCACTGTGCTGTCTCTCCAGCCCCGCCCTTTCTCCTTCCCGCCAGTGGCCGTGTCTAAGCCACTTGGTCAATGCCCTGTTGACTCGGGGTACACAGATGCTGGGTACCATGAGCGAAAAGCAGACAGTCTTACAAAGCTCTTATTTCAGAGAGGACTTAGACAATTCCTCACTGGCAGCTAGATGTTGGAGCCTGTGGAGAGATGATGGGCAGGGCAGGGGTGGTGGGGCTTGGCGGAGGCTCACGTTAGGCCTCACTGAGAAGACAGAGCCCGGGGCGACTGGTGTGGGCCATTTGGTCAGGCCAACGCACTGCCTGAGAGGTGCTTGGGTCCTTCCTTCCCTCCGAGGGTAGTTTAAGAGGATTTCCCACAGGGCTTCAGTTTTATTTATTTATTTTTTATTTTATTTTATTTTTTGCTTTTGGATCACACCCGGCGATGCACAGGGGTGACTCCTGGCTTTGCACTCAGGAATCACTCCTGGCGGTGCTTGGGGGACCATATGGGATGCTGGGAGTCGAACCCAGGTCGGCTGCGTGCAAGGCAAAGGCCCTCCCCACTGTGCTATCGCTCCAGCCCTGGGCTTCAGGTTTGTTTTTCCTGAAAGGGCTTACACGTACACTTGCCTGTGACTCCCTGCAGGAAAAGTTGCTGGGCTTGATGTCACTGCCGACCAAAGAACAGTTTGAGGAACTGAAGAAGAAAAGGCAGGAGGAGATGGAGCGGAAGCGGATCCTGGAGAGTCCGGTGAGGCACACGAGGCGCTGGTGGCCCGCCTCCCCCCGTCCGCGCCTGCTCGCCGCCCGATGACCGCTGCCTTCTCTTTGCCTTTGCTGTCCCCCCAGGCTGCCCTGGAGTCTCAGCGGAGGCTGGAGGAGAAGTGGGGCGATCTGACCACCGGCGCTGCGGCCAACGGGGATGTGGCATCGCTCCGCCGGGGCCACGCGCCCCTGAGAAAGGCCGAGGGCTGGCTCGCCCTGTCCGGGGGCCCGGCGGAGACGGAAGAGTCGGACCCGCTCCTGCAGCAGATCCGCAACATCACGTCCTTCATCGGGCAGGCCAAGGCCGCGGGTCGTGCCGACGAGGTGCGCACGCTGCAGGAGAACCTGCGGCAGCTGCAGGACGAGTACGACCAGCAGCAGACGGAGCGGGCCATCGAGCTGTCCCGGAGGCAGGCCGAGGAGGAGGCCCTGCAGCGCGAGCAGCTGCAGGTGCTGCGCGAGCGCGAGTGGGAGCGCGAGCGGGAGCAGTTGCAGGCGGCCTCACTGCACACTCGGACCCGCTCCCTGGACTTCCGGGAAGTTGGCCCTTTCCAGCGCGAGCCGCGGCCCCACTCGGCTTACGCGCCGGACCTCGACTCCTCTCCAGTTCGGGGCAGCGCGGCGCCCCAGACCCCTTCACCCAGCTCAGCGCACGAGCCCCCCCGGGGGTGGGCGGCGCCCCCAGCCCTCGGCCTGGAATCCTTCCCGCAGAGCGCCGCGCCCCCGCAGAATGAGGCCCCCTCCCTGAACCCCTTTGAGGAAGACCCCTCCAGCCCCACGGCAGAGGGCACCGTCAGCCCCCCTGCCGCGGAGTCTCCCCGGGCTCCGTCAGCCCACAAGTCCAAAGAGTACAATCCTTTCGAGGAGGATGACGGGGAGGAGGAGTCCGCGGCAGGAAATCTGTTCACCAGCGCGCACAGCCCGGCCCCGAACCCCTTTGAGGAGGAGGAGGAGGAGGAGGAGGAGCCTCCGCGCCAGAAGCCCTCGAGCCCTGCTGTGGGGGGCAACCCCTTCGAGGAGCCGGCGGGCACCAACCCCTTCGAGCTGGACAGCGACAGTGGACCGGAGGCCGAGGCGCCCATCGACGAGGAGCTGCTCCTGCAGCAGATCGACAACATCAAGGCGTACATCTTCGACGCCAAGCAGTGCGGCCGCCTGGACGAGGTGGACGTGCTGACGGAGAACCTGAAGGAGCTGAAGCACACCCTGGCCAGGCAGAAGGCGGGCACGGACTGACGGGCGGGGCACCCCGGCCAGGGCACTTGCGGGGAGCCGCCCCCTCGGGGAGAGGGATGGTGGACGGGTGGGGACGGAGAAAGGGCGAGAAGACTGCTGTGCGCCCACACGGTGGCCTCCTGCACTCTTAGCGAGCAGACAGGCGTTTAGTTCTCATCCCTCCCCTTCTTTCTGCATCGGCCCGTTCAGATGCAGGATCGTGGGGCCGGGCAGGCACTACCGCAACAGATCCTCATTCCGACCAGTTGGTGATTCTTGTTTTGATGTCTCTATCGGAAAACTGAACAGACTGGCCGCCGCCCCTTGCTTTGCAGACATCACCCTCAATCAGTTTAGTCTCAGTCTCCCCACCGGAGGCCAGTTCCGGGTGGGATCAGCATGTACTTCTCACACTTCGCTTGTGCCTTTTCGTTCGCAACAGACTGTGAGGGCGTGAGGGACATGTGGCTGCATGGCTGTCTCGGTTTGCACGTTAGTGGCAGGCTTAGGATCTACCCGTCTGTCTCCCGCAGAGTGTGATCATCTGTGTCGGTTGGTGATGGATTGGTGGCGCGTTAGGGACTGGAGATGGAGAAACGGACCTCTGAGTGACGCTTTCTTGGTCCCGCTCCCGAGAGGGTCTCTGGCTTCTCGGAGTTAGGCTCAGTGAGTGTAGCCTCCAGTTGTTTTCAGTTTTTCATCTTTGACTCTGAGTTTATTTTGCATCTCCAGCTGTTTGGCCACCACCTGACGTTCACATTCTTTCTCCCACTTCACCGTTGGTTTCTGTCAACGTGTCTTACATCCTGGCCTCCAATCTCTTTTTATCGGAAAACAGTCGCTGAATTTTTTTTTTTTTTTTTTTTTTTTTTGCTTTTTGGGTTACCCCCAGCGATGCTCAGGGGTTACTCCTGGCTTTGCACTCAGGAGTTACTCCTGGCGGTGCTCGGGGGACCATAGGGGATGCTGGGAATCGAACCCGGGTTGACTGCATGCAAGGCAAACGCCCTACCCGCTGTGCTATTGCTCCAGTCCCAGTCGCTGAAGTTTTTGATTGTGTGTTTCAAGTTCCCGTTGCAGATTGAATTTATCTTCTTCATATCTGGTAGCTGTTTTCTCTAGAATTTCAATTTCAACTTCATTATGTGCGGCGGAGCGTTCCCTGCTACACCGAACAGATACTGGGACTCAGAACAGGAATAATCAGCATTCCATCCCTTTTCCTCTAGTTTTTGTTTTTTCTTTCAATTGGGTTTTCCCTTCAGAAGGGACCTGGCATTTTCTCCCAAGACAGGACTAAATGCAGTTTTTATTGCGCGCAGGCAGACGCCGCCCTGCGCCTCCTGGTGCTGTTTACTCCTGCCTCGCCTTGTGTCAGTGCAGTGCCCACCCTCCAGCCGCCACAGGCTGAGGGACCCTTGCGGCGGTGGATCGCGGGGAGCCTGGCCGCCTTCCACCTGCTTCTGCAGCAGTGGGAGCAGGGAGGGGACTGCCAGGCTTCAGGCAGGTGATGGGCCTGTTCCCGCGCAGGTTCTCTCCTTCGGGACATTGAACTTCCGAGGCAGCCGTGAGCCAGGAGCGGTGTAGGAGAAGAGGTGAACTGGGGTTGGTGGGCTGGGGTGGTACCGGCGAGCGGGGTCTCTGCCAGCACACCTCTCGGCCCCGTTGGCTGCTTGAGCATTGTCTCCCAGAAGCCTTCCTCTGGGGTGTCGTCACCCCTTTCCTGGCCCTGCCCCCTCCTGGCCTGATTTCCTTCCTGTGACCACCCTGTCCTCCTGGTCAACCCCTAGTCTTGTGCTGGGCCCCATTTCACCTGTGGCGCCTTTGGAGGACCCCGGAGACCCACACGGGCCCACGTGCTCCTGGCTGGCCGCTATTGCTCTAGGTAGGGCTCTGGCAACGCTGACTGGGCCTTGTTCAGAGTCCCCCGTCGGTGCGTCAGGAATCGAGGGGCAGGAGGCTTCTGTGGAACATGTCAGGAGAGTGGAAGCTTGCTTCTCAGAGGATAAACTTAAAAGAGAGCGTGCAGGAGGTGAGGCGCTTGCCTTGCGGGCGGCCGACCCAGGCTCAGTTCCCAGCACTCCACCTGGTCTCTGGCGCCCAGAGACAGGAATAACCTCTGAGACTGCCGAATGTGGCCCAGTCCTGCCCCCCAACCCTGAAAGGAACAAAATGACTCTCAGGGCTAAATGATCGCCTTCCTCCCTTTGGCGCTTCGTGTCCTGACCAGGGCACTGGCAGGCTACCATTTAGTATTAAGAAACAGATGTTTGAAGAGGCACAACACAGGGTCATTCTGCAAGCACCAGGCACTTGACCTCTTCACTCATGAAGGACAAAAAGGGAAATTGTTAGTTTAGTTCCGGAGCTGTCATTAATTCACTGTTTCTCAGCCTCTTCTGACCTTGTCCGTTCTGTGGCCCCCGTCCTACTGGCTGGCCCCCTAATCTTGTGCCCCAGCCCCCCATCTGTGTGATTTTCACCTTTGTCCTCCCTTGCAATGTTCTGGGGGCCACCATGGCCCTTTATTGAGAAACGCTGCTGGTAGGGTACCCACGTGAGCTCCGGGTAGAGTTCCTGTAATTAAGCCTGTTAATGAATGAACAATATCTGACCACTAGTCACTTTAAATCCCTTAACTAACTCGGGTCACACTCTTGCTGGTTCCTGGTGTGTGAGCTGAAATTCATTTTGTTACATTCTGGAGAGACCTTTATTCGTGTCTGAAAAACATTGTGGTGTATAAATAATCTGTGTGTGTTGACACTATCCGTATTTGTTTACTACCATCTGAACCTTATGGTTGAATCAAAAGGTCCTGTATCGGGGCATGGGGAAAGGGGTTCTGTGGAGGACCCTTTCCGTTTGCTTTCTGTTCACAAAGAACTGTTGAGTGAGTTGCTAGTGCCAGCTAAGAACTTGGTGATTGTCAGGAGTGTTTGGGGACATTGGCGACGGATGAAGTATCTCGTGTTTGGGTTAGGCCTTTCCTTCCTTGAGGCCCAAGGCCTTGGTTATTTTGGAAGGTTTTGCTCATGGCCAGTACCCCCTCTTTTCTCAGTCTGCCATTCTGAGGAAACACTCTTCATTAAAGAGCCGATAGTTCCAGAAGCAAAAGGCGATTTTGCAGCAGAAACACTTTTTTTCCAGGATTTCTCAGCTGGTGATTTCAGTCAAGCCTAGTTTACTAAATATGTCCTTTCCCTAAAATCAGCCTGAAATAGCAATTTGTAAGTAAGAGTATTGAGAACCGCATAGAAGAAACATTTTAAACTAAAACATGGCACTTAAGTATATTAAGCCAAACTAAAATCCTCAGATGTGATTGAATCTCTTCATTCAGTTCTTCCATGGCAGTAATCTAGAATTGTAGTTATGACAGGAATTAGACTTCGATTCCTCATCTGTCCCATTTTTTCAGGATTCACAAGGCACAAAGATTTACAGAGTAGGTTAACATTCGGCCTTTGAACAGATAGCGTCTCGATTGCTACCACAATTTGGAGTCTTAGCTCAGGTGAATCTTTGGCCCTTCATGCGCAGCTGCATGTGGTCAGGAGTTGAGCACGTTCTTGCTATAGCATTGGCAGGTGCTGGAGCTGTCTCACACGTGGAAGAGACTCGGGGATTCAGGCCTCAAATGAGGTGAGCCTTCCCTTTTCGGCCTTGTGTTTTTTTGCCCCTGTCTTAATACACTAAGGACACTTTGTGCGCACAGTTCATGTGTCTTTGTTGTTCGGATACTAAAATGTACCTCTGAGTTAATCATGAGCTATGTGGTAGGTTGGACATGAACATACTTAGGTAACGGGACTCCTATGAGAAGCTGTTCTTTACCAGGCCACAGTCTAGCTGATTGTGCGGGTCATCTTCCAGCGGTGGTCCGTTTTAGGGTCATTGATTTGCATGCACTACTCTGGGACCTCATATCGGAACCTTTAAAAGAAAATAAAATTACTGATGCTAGTTGCTCTGTGTGTGTCTGTATGTGCATGTGTGCTACAAAGGAGAAGCACTGGGAACACCCTTCCCCCCTTCTTTCCTGGAGCTGGAGCGATAGCACAGCGGATAGGGCGTTCGCCTTACAAGCAGCCAACATGGCCGACCCGAGTTCGATTCCTCCACCCCTCTCGGAGAGCCCGGCAAGCTACCGAGAGTATTCGATATGCCAGACACAGTAACAACAAAGTCTCCAATGGAGACGTTACTGGGCCCGCTCGAGCAAATCATCCAAGTATCAAAAAGTACGCCCAACCTCCGTGTTCCCTGGCTGTTTATGACAAAATTGGGGTCACTGGGCTCTTAGGATGAATATGGCTTTGAGTTCTGCCCTCATGAAACCTAGTTATTCCTGCGTTAAACAGTTTTTACACATAGTATAAGAATCCTCTTCAGTCTTGCCACCTCATCATAATGATGCAGAAATCAAGGAAATGTATGGCACTGTTCCTCAACCTGATACTGATGTCACTGGGGTCTTTGAAACTGAAACCTCCCAAGGACTGGGTGTATTCAACCCGGAAGTAGTGCTCGTTTGGGACAAGGCAGAAAGCTGAGTGCGGTTCACGGCGTGCCTTGTTCAGTCCTCCCAACTCTGATTTACAGGGGAAATGACTGTGATCGGCCAATCGTGCTCAGCGTTTCGAGGTGGGATTGCAGCCAGGTCAATCCCCACTGCCTGAGCCTGATTCATACATGCGCCCTCATTCTAACACAGAAGGACATTGGGCCCATGGGAAACACTGGTGGGCTTGAAGATCAAAACCTTGGGGCTGGAAGGAGTCCTGGGTTATACTCTTGAAGCAGTTGCCTTGTGTACAGTTGACGAGGTTTGATCCTTTGGCACCACATGTATCTCCCCAGTACTGCCACGGGGCACCTCTCTCATTTCAGAGTTTGAAATCTTGAAGTCACTGTCATCAGAAAAAGCTGGGCGGCCCATCAGACAAGAGTTTGAATCCGGAGAGTTGACTCGCAGGTCCTGTGAGAGGCTGGGGCCTGACCAGTGAGTAGGAACACTTGGTGAATCCTTGATGCGAAACACTTTCATGGTTTCAGGCACCCAGCTGTTTTCACAGTTAGGAGATGAGAAGCTTCCCGGTGCTGGCCAGGGACTGGCGGGTGAACAGTCTTTGGCAGATAAACGTGGGAGTCAATGCTCCCTGGGCATTGCAAAGCACTTTGGGCAATGCCTACAAGCCGGGCTTGTACCCAGGGGGGGCCCAGATCCCCTCTACCTGCAACCCCATTGGCTCCAGAACACGCTGGAGGGGTTGGTGGACCCTGTATATCACCACGGGGAGCGCGCGGGAAAGGCCCTGTCCTGTCCCGACTCCAATAAATGAAGCGCGTTCTCCTGCACTGGCCCGTTTCTCAGGACAGTCTTTGAGTCCCACCACACCCCGGCCTCGCGCTTTCCCGCCTCATCATAGTTAGGGGAAGGGGGGGAAAAAAAAATATATATATATATATATATTCGCGTATATATATATATTCGCGTATATATATATTCGCGTTGGAGGGGGCTTCAGCAGTACTGGGGGGCTGCTGGAGTCAAATTCGGGACCTTCCTCTGAGCCAACCCTTTGAACGGTCTCCCTGGACCCAACACTTTTTCCTGTTTTTTTTTTTGCCAACCGTTTGCTGAGCCCAGGTCAGCGACTGTGCTACTCGAACCGCTTCCTTCTGCAGCTTGAGCGCCAGTGAGAAAACAAAACAAAACCAAACACCTCTTTGGGGCCGATTCGGGATGCGGACTCCAGCCCCCTGGCTTCGCGCTGCAACTCGGAGCCTCGGGAAAGGCTGCCCCGGTCGCGGGTTGCAGGGCACCGGCGGCCGAGCCCGAGCCCCCGCGCGGGACTACAAGTCCCAGGCTGCCCCGCGCGCGCGCGGTGCCTGCCGGGAGGCGCGGCCGTCGGGACGGCGCGGGCCGCGTGCGCGGGGCTGAGCGGGCTGGGCGCGCGGTGGGTGCCCCGCCGGCCGCCGCCATGCCCATGAAGGGCCGCTTCCCGATCCGCCGCACCCTGCAGTACCTGGGCCAGGGCGACGTGGTGTTCAAGGACTCGGTGAAGGTCATGACGGTCAACTACAACACGCGCGGGGAGCGGGGCGAGGGCGCCAGGTCAGTGCGGCGCGGCCCGACCCCGCCCCGCCCGGCCCGGGGGTCGCGGGCAGAGGGGGCCCCGGTGGCCCCGACAGCCGCCCCCCCTGCCCCCCGGAGAGCGGGACTGACGGGCGGCGCCCGGGGTCAGAGCGGGTCGCCCGCCCCCAGGCGTAACCGTAAGGCCGACTTCTCCTCTCCCGGGGGGAAAAATCTCAGTTTACGTAATTATTGGGAAGATGCCGAGAATCCGCAAAAGCTCAGGGTTTCTACTTTTTCCCCGTGGCCTGTTTTGTTCACTGCCGCAGACCGTTTGGGGTGTGTCTGACACTTCTTTTGCAGGGCGGGGTGAGGCGGCGCTCAGCGGGCTTGGGGGACCGTGGGGGACCGTGGGGTCTGGGGATCAAGCAGGGCCACCTGCACGCAGAGCCTGTGCGCCCGCGCTCGGACCCCCAGACCAGTGTGAAGTGGTGGGACTGGGACGGCTCGCTTGCAAAGTCCCTGCCGTGTGTGTGTGTGTGTGTGTGTGACGGCTCGCTTGCAAAGTCCCTGCCGTGTGTGTGTGTGTGTGTGTGTGTGTGTGTGTGTGAGAGAGACTGACTGGTACGGCTCGCTTGCAAAGTCCCTGCTGTGTGTGTGTGTGTGTGTGTGTGTGTGTGTGTGTGTGTGTGTGTCTGGGACGGGGCTTGCAAAGTCCCTGCCGTGTGTGTGTGTGTGTGTGTGTGTGTGTGTGTCTGGGACGGCTGGCTTGCAAAGTCCCTGCCATGTGTGTGTGTGTGTGTGTGTGTGTGGCCCCCAGTCTGAGCTCAAGCACAGCCCCACAAAATCCAAGAGTGATGTCAGTGGCCACCATCGCGGCATCCTGCGCCTCAAAGGCCGGTGGTCTGGCTCACAGAAACCGAGTGTGTGTGGGAGCTGATCGCTGAAACGACAGGGTGGAAGGGGAATGGGTAGAAATATTAATATTATGATAATTTTATAACCATAAAAGCTCACTGTTCAGGGGCTGGAGCAATAGCACAGCGGGGAGGGCGTTTGCCTTGCACGCAGCTGACCTAGGTTCGATTCCCAGCAACCCACATGGTCCCCTGAGCACCGCCAGGGGTAATTTCCTGAGTGCAGAGCCAGGAGTAACTCCTGTGCATCGCCGGGTGTGACCCAAAAAGCAAAAAAAAAAAAAAAAAAAGTTCACTGTTCATCACTGTCCTCCCTTTGTTCATCCATTTGCTTGAGCGGGCCCAGTAATATTGTGAGACTTGTTACTGTGTTTGGCATGTTGAATACGTCATGGGTAGCTTGCCAGGCTTTGCTGTGCGAACGAGATACTCTCAGTAGCTTGCTGGGCTCTCCAAGAGGGGCGGAGAAATTGAACTCAGTTGGCCGTGTCGGCCGCATGCAAGGCAAATGCCCTGCCCGCTGTGCTATCGCTCCAGCCATAAAAATATAATTTAATTATAAATTAAATGATTTAGTGATATTATTAAATATTTATAAATGATTCGTGAGGTATTCAATATGCCAAAAAACAGTAACAAGAAGTCTCACAATTTGTTGTGAGATGTTACTGGTGCCCGCTAGAGCAAATCGATGAACAACGGAAGGACAGTGCTACAGTGCTATTAATTAAATATTGGTACCCCTCTAGGGGCCGGCAGGATAGGACAGAGGGGGAAGGTGCTTGCCTGGCTTGCAGCCAACCAGTGCTCAATCTCCAACATCCCATTTGGTCCCCACCCCCACCAGGAGTGATCCCTGAGCACTGCCAGGAGTATCCCCCCAACAACAAAAACTGTTGCAAGTTTAATTTCTTGCTTTCTTCAGGAAATTCGTGTTTTTCAACGTCCCTCAGATCCAGTATAAGAACCCTTGGGTCCAGATCCTGATGTTCAAGAACATGACGCCGTCCCCCTTCCTGCGATTCTATTTAGGTGAGTGTGGGACCCAGCGCTCCAGGGACAAAAACATCTACTCAGATTTGTTTGTTTGGGGGCCACACCTGCTGGTGATCAAGGGTTCGGGACCATGCGGTGCTGGTGGTTAACCCAGGCCTCCTGAGTGCTTTTGACCTGATTCACTCTTTGGCCCCAGTGATTTTGATAGAGATTAATTAGACCAGTTGGGGGCAGACTAACTTTGTATTTTTGGATGTTTTTGGTCATACACGGCTGTGCTCTGGGTTTACTCCTGGCTGGGCTCGGGAACCGCATCCCGTGTTTCAGATCTAATCTGGGTTGGGTGTGTGCACGGCAAGTGCCTTACCCACTTACCCATTGTACTATCTCCCGACACCCTGGGGTATAGCGTATCTGACAGTATCTATCTATGAACATAGAATTCTTTTCCACTACATAGTACGCTTTCGTAGCTACCCCTAGTTTGTCTGCTTGTGGAAGAAGGAAGTGTAGCTAACATACAGGTCATGTCAACAGACCACTCGGGGGCCATGTGTGCCGGGGAACTAACTCGGGCTGCAGTCCCAGACATTTGAATCTGTTTCTGCAGATTAAAATGATTTGAGGGCCGAAGTCACACACTGAGGGATGCGTTGAGTTGCTGGATCTTTCTTTCTTCCCCATGCTTCCTGTTTGCAGATTCTGGGGAGCAGGTCCTGGTGGACGTGGAGACCAAGAGCAATAAGGAGATCATGGCGCACATCAAGAAAATCTTGGGGAAGACAGAGTGAGTTGCTGGGGCTCCCTGAGCTGAGAGCAGGGCCGTGGCTGATGCAAGGCTGCCCCCAAGACCTTTTTAGCTCCTTCCCCCGGCTCTGTGCCCCTCCTGTGGCCCCTCTCCTTAGGGACTGCAGCTTAGTGCCAGCCTGTCCACTGGGTTGGGGTGTCTGGACCCGGCAGGGCCCCGTTCGGGGGAGCGCCCTGTGAGGAGGCAGCGGGAGGCCAGGGGAGGCCTTCTTGCCCCTCGTCCTTCCTCCCGGGAAGGCTGTGGGATGGGGCTCCTCTCCCCTGGCTGGCAGCCCCTTTCCAGAGGCCTGGAGCAGCGTCGCCCACGCCTTCTTGTCTCTGCCATCAGGGAAACCCTGAAGAAAGAAGAGCAGGCGAGGATGCAGCTCTCTCACCCGGCCAACTTCGGCCCCCGGAAGTACTGTCTGCGGGAGTGCATGTGCCAGGTAGAAGGGCAGGTACCCTGCCCCGGCCTGGTGCCCTTACCCAAGGAGATGACAGGGAAGTACCGAGCTACTCTGAGCGCCGGTGCCCAGGATTAAGACTGCCAGAGACTTGGGGTGCCCCTTACATGCCCAGGAAAGATGCAGGTGGCCGGGGAGTCGGCAGCTGAGCTGCTAGTGAGCAATAAAATGCTTTTCCACCACCTCGGCACGGTTGTGCGTCCCTGGTATGAATGAGGCCGGAGGGGCCGAGTGAGAAATGGGAGGCCCTTTCCTGGGCCGTGGCTGCGGTGTGCACGCCTGCACCAGGCTCATCTGTTTTTCTGGCGAGCCTCTGCAGCACCTGCCTTTCGTTGAGCAGGGCTGGGTGGGCTCTGGGCCACACCTGGCTGTGCCCGTTACTCCAGCCCTGTCCCGGGAACACGTGGTGCTGGGCATTTGAACAGGGCTGGCTGCATGCGAGGCTAGTGCCTTCGCGCAGGGCTCGCTTCCAGAGGCAGGTCTGGTGGGCGGGATGGCCCCTGTGGGACCCCCCCATAGCCCCGGTGCTCACCCATGTTCACTCATGATTGGCAGGTGTGGCTGAGGGCTGCCCGGTTCCCTGGACACAGGATCAGGAGAGGTCCGCGGGCTTCAGCAGCAAGAAGCCAGAGGGTGACTTGGTCACATGTGAAGGACTAGCAGAACCCGGGAACTGCCCCTATCCCTGGGGTGTGGTTCAGTCAGTGGCTTCGAGCCGGCTGAGGGTAGGACTGCTTTGCCGGGAAGGTGTGGAGGCAGAGGCTTTGCACATCCAGGGCGGCTGTGGATCGACATGGGCTATCATCAGGCCCATTAAGTTGGAAGTTGGCTTTTCCACGTGGGGGCCACACAGGCGCTAACAGCCCAGGGTCTGCCTGGACCACGTCTTTGGCCTTTACTCTGGGGTCAGGGATTGCTGGCCAGGCCTGACGCGCCTCAGGAAGCTCTGGTTTGCTGTGATTTTGTGTTGAGCTGCGCTCAGGGTGACGGCTCCCGGGTGGAGCGGGCACCCCACCTTAGGGCGGGCGCCGTCTCTCACCTCACCTTGGCCTCACCACGCAGCAGGTTCTGTTCAGCTGCCAGGGGCTTTCCGGAGACAGCCAGCTGTTTGGAGGGAGTAGCCTCCCCTCCCGCTGAGACCCCTCTTCTCCCGAGGTGGTGCCTGGCAGTTCTCTCTGATTGGTGGTTTCTTTCTATTGGCATAATCAAGTGGGTTTCTGGATTCCTGCGCTCAGTGCTCACCTGGCAGCAGAGCCAGGTCAGAGACACCAAGTCCCTTGTTTGTGACTTCAGAGCTTGTGTCTATCGCCACAGCCGCCACCCTCTTGGAGGGACCCGCCGGCCCCAGTGCTCTGGCCCCGCATCTGACCGTGCAGGTGGCCCTTCCCTAGGCCAGTGAGGCAGGAGCCCTCCGTGGGCCCTGCCGCTGTCACTATAGAGTGGAGAAGTGATGAGCAGGACGCACAAGTCTTTAATTCACTTTTAATAGTATAAACCTCGTTTAGGTAGTAGTATTAAGCCACAACAATAATGCCACATTAAAACAGCATTTAATAAAATGCATAAAGCTAATTCATGCACTGCAATACTCTATATACAAACACAACAATGCAAATTCTTCTTCAGGACTGAAGACAATGATTAGATATAAAATTCAGTTTAAAAAGAACATGCTTTTTTTTTCTTTTTAAATGCCATCACATAAACAAAGCTGATTTCAAGCTACAGCTTTGAACAGATTTTAAACCTGGAATTAAAATGTAATGGCATAAACAATATATTGTGAAGGGAAAAGGTTACAGAAACGGTCCCAAGAAAAATCCAACACCTGAATTTTCCTTTTAACAGACGTCTTTCAAAAGAGCTGGAAACGCAGCTACATTTTACCAGAGGTCCCAACTACAGATAAAAACTATGGTCTGTACTATGAAAAATGTGCAGCTTTTTCCGTTATAAAACTAGTTGAACACTGGTTACCAGGGACTGGGGAACCGGAGAGGCTGTGGGGAGACAGCCCGGCACTTGAGCTGAATGAGGCGGCAGCGGCTGCCTCATGAAGGCTCCGGTCATTAAAATAATTACTCTCCTAAAGGAAAACCTTTTCAATGTAAAGTCTATTTATTCCCAATGTTATCCAAAGATTAAACTTTATCAAAGTGTCATTTGATAAATGTTGCTGAATATTTTTTCCAGCATTTAACGGTATTTCTTCTACGCCGTATGTATAAATATTGAAACACCAAAATTCCAGTTAAGGCTTCTTAACTGAAAGTACAGCTGGGTCTTACAAATCTCCCCCGCCCCGCCCCCACCCCACCCAGGATGCTTTTTTAAGCTCACAGTTTAATGCTTCGATTGCTGTTAAGACAGAGAGCCCCGAAGGAAGAAGTCTGCGGGTTCCGTTGTCAAGCTTCCGCTTGTGTTCCAACTGGAAAGCCGTGTTCAATGGTGCGATTGTCGCGACAGGCAGGGACATGGGAAAGGTCGAACAATCACAGCTGGACGAGGCCAGGGAACAGCCGGAGCTTGCTTGCTTTCCCACCGGAAGTGGGGGAGCGGGAGGCTGAGTGACCCACGTCTCACAAAGGCACTGAGTACTATGGTCTCAATGAGGCGGCTTGGAACCTTTCAGTAGCTCGCCGAGCACAAAAGCGACTGTGGCCGGGGGAGTCTGCAGCTTGCTCCGTGGCGGGCTTGCCGGGGCGCTCACCCTCGCCCCTCGGCGGGTCAGGCCCTGCCTCCCGCATGCCGTGTCTCAGTTTAAAGCCCGATTAGGGGGAATTCATCAGAGTCCATCTGGACGAGGAGAATTTGGCATCTGTAGCTTTATGGGCATACATCTCCATGTCAGAAATGCAATTTTAATTTGGAAAAAAAAACCAATTTATGGAGTTAAGTAGTAGATTTTACTCACATGCGATACTTAGCAAAGTAACTTAGGATTTGTAGTTTATATGCCATAAGATAACCATCGACATTCATGCTTGTTTGAACAGAATACTTGGAAGGCGATGTTTTTCAACTGGCATTTCAATTGGTTTGCTCTGGGGAGTGCAGGGGTCCCCGCCCAGCGCCTCCCACCAAGCCCCTGCCCTGGCGGGGCAGGGGACACTAGGGTATGCTCTTGCAGCGTCTTGCCCTGGCTTTCCCCAGAGAAGAGAGCGTCATCCTGTTAGGACCTTTTCTGTCTCGAGCTCTCCCTGACAGTAGAGCCCGTGACTGCCCCGGCCTTTCCCAGCCCCGGAGCGAGCTCAGAGGAGCGGGACTCCATCATAGACTCCACCGTGAGGGAAGTTTGGATACATGGCTACATGTCTGTATACATAATATACATCTATGTACACATAAGTTATATACACTGTACATTCGTCGAGCTATAAACACACATACATTCATCAGTCAGACGGCCTAGAGATCTGTACACGGGGCCTCGGAAGCGACCCAGGGCTGGACGTGCAGACGTGCTTGAAGGCAGGAGGCCCCAGCAGAGGCCAGAACCCTGTGGACAAAAGACTCAAACCTCTCCCAAGCTGGGGTTAGAAACCTGTATCTCAGCGCATTCCCGAAGAGCCACGCAATCCAGAGCCTGGTCAAAAGTGACACTTGTCAAGACCTGGGGTTAATTAAGATACTGAAATGTCGCCCATGACCCATTGCACATAGAACATCTCCGCCGGAAACTGGACACACAGCTTCTGACCAGGCTCGGGCCTGGATCCTCAGCCGAGGCGGACTCTGCCGGCCATGTCCCTCACAATTCAGGGTACCTAGTCCCCCCCCTTTTACCTGGAGTAAAAGCACTAGGTCCAGCTAGAACCCCATTTTCTGAACGGCCAAGTCTGCATGCTGTGTGGCTACAACCCTCGGCTTCTGAGCAGGCCGCCACCACAGTCAGGGAGCCCAGCACCCCCCATGACGGGTGCCCACCCCAGACCCCTCCACACTTAATACTGACACAAGGAGAACAGGCCCTCTGAGGGCAATCACAGAACACACCTTACACATGACTACACCTGAAACCAAATATGAAAACCCGAAGAAATCAAGAACCCCAAACAATAGCCTCCGTTAGATAATAAATAACACAACCCCTCCCCCTAACAGACACACACACATCTCAAATGAGGGGATGTTAAGGTACTTCCTTAAAAACTTCCCAGGAATAACAGTAAAAAAGTACGATTTGCTTAAGTAATTTGGTCTTTTTCTAAGCCTCTTCCTGTCCTAGAATCTGATTCTGTCCCATTATTTTCCACAAATTTCAACAAAGGCTGCAGCATTATCAGCGGGAGTGGGGCCAGCAGGGTCTCCAGCACGAAGCGGGGGCAGGGCAGAGGGCAGAGGGCAGGTCTGACTTCGCTAAGTTGAGTTTCTGAGAAGCTGAACCGAGGATCGGTTGCGGTCCCTTTGAAGATTTCGGACTGAGGGCTTCGCTTCGGCAATCTGACAACAGCCGGGAGAGACCACACGCAGTCCAGGGCGTGGGATGACGGGGGCGTGAATTCAGGACATGATCCTTTAGGGAAAGGTCACTTCCGAGTAAGGCCAAGAAGGATCTGGGAAACGAATGGGCGTTTGAAGGGCGGCCCCTGAACTAGCCCTTGCCAGAGAAGAGATGCAGGAACAGGCTGCGTTAGGGCCAAGCCCCTCGGCTCTGCGTGCGGGAGCCCGGCACTCCCTAGTCTGAGTGTTCTTGCTGTCCTGCCGGTCACTATCTACCCCCAGCATGGCCTGGGCCCTCCGGGGTGTCTGCTCAGCTCCCCCAATATGATCAGGTGAATGTAACGGGCTCAGAAGGGCTCTGGGAGTTGCCGCGAGCCTGGCGGGAAAGGCGTGGGCAGCACGCGGGCCTGGGGCCTTGTCGGCAACACTGACAACCTGGGCCTTAGGATATGCTGACGGGATGTGCGTGGGCCTGAGGGAACTGCTCAGATGGTCGAGAGGGAGGATGGGGAAACGCCATGTGCGGGCTGCTCGGACAGTCTTGGAGGCCCCACTCGGGCCTCCAAGCACACAGCGAACCTCCCGGAAGCCACCGCGCTGGCTTTTGTCTTCATTCTGACATTTGAGTCACTTCAAACCTAGAAAACCATCACTGTAAGCTGGCAAAGAGAAAAGCGTCACTCTTTCCCCCACTTTCTAACAGGCACCCCACCTCTCCCCTCTACCTCCAGACGGGAGTCTGGACGCGGGAGACCGTTCCCCTGACTGCACTCTGCCACTGACTCCCATAAAGTGCTGCTGCGCGCCCGGAATGAAGCAGCTCCCGTCTCCCGCGCCCCGAGCCCGCGAGGGGGCTCACTCAGCGGTGCTCTAGCCTCCGCCAGGCCACCTTCTGCTGCGAACTGAACCTTGCACGGTACTTCCGCTTTCCTCTGGACTATCCAACAGCAAGCAGGAAGCGCCCGAGCTGGCTGTGGCCACTGCATCCTTGGCGGCGGTGCTTGCGCTCCCTCGCCTCTCCTCTAGAGAGCGACCCCTTCCTGGAGGAGAGAGATGGGGAGTTCGGGCTGCGCTGGGGAGCGGGCGGGCGTCTGCTGCTGCGCTGTCCAAAGGGCTGGATCCAAGTGGGCGATGCACCAGTACCACGGAAACATCTGCCTGCAGCCCGGCTTGGAGGCAGCTGGCCAGTCGGCACAAGCCTCGCTTTCAGCTTCGCTGGGCGCTGGCCAGGCCGCCGCAGGCCCCTTCTGGGGGGCGGGAGCCCTCACATCCGCCTATCCGAGTAACGCGCCAGCCCCACGCTGCACTCCAAAGTTCTGTGCAAAGGTTCGGAATGCCGACCTTGCGCACGCCGGTCTGAAGGTGCCATCTCCTGGGCGTGGCGGGGGTGCCTTGGGGTCTCTCCAGCGGCTGCACTCCGATCCTGAGAACCGGTCATCAGGAGAGCCCCCAGAGAGGAGGCGCCCTCGGCCTGGCAGGGGGCGACTAGGGCTGTGGGAGCTGGGGCGGGGTGCTGAGTGCCCACTCACTCTAGGCTGCAGACAGGCTGAGTTCTCGTTTGTTCAGAGGAACTTAGCTTAACACCACCAATGTGTGCGTACAAAGAGGAATGATACCTTCGTTTCTTCACACAGAATGATTGTCTCCTGTCCCTACTGGTTTTCGCAGAGATCATTAGCATTTCGACAAGACAGTCTCCCGTTTGCCCTGCCCACAGGCAAGACGCCGTGAACATCCCATCGATAAGAAGTGCTTAGAAAGTGCTAATATCATTACCCTGGTAATTAGTAGCTATTAATTCCAAGGACATTTTTAATATATATACACACATACTGTTCTCTTAGGTTCTTTTTAGTTTTAATACTAGTCTCTGATATTATAAAATTCTGTTTTCCTTTTCTGCCCTTTGAGAATTTCTAAGTACAAATTGAGTTAAAAGATTGTTCCAAAACCTGCTACTTCATCAAAAGGCATTAAAACATTTCTTACGTCAGGAAAGGATCCTACTAGTCTTTTAGTTGCTATTTTCTGGGATTAACAGAGAAGAAACCAGGCAGGTAATGGCGAACACATCGGACACATTTGCACATACCAAGTACCATTAGCGAGTGCGCGCGGCCCCGGCGGGCACTATAGACTGGCTCCCGTGATCTGCCCGTTGTACTCCGCGGTCTCCATCTTGAGGATGTAGGGGATTATGCTGTCTATGGACACATTGCCGATAAGACCAGTGAAAAACAGTTCTTCCGTTATATTGGAGCTCATCAGCCTGAGTGCCGGCAGGCGGACGAGGATCCGAGCCAACCTGTGGAGGGGAGGCCCATCAGAGAAGCTGGCGGAGCCGAGGGCGCTGCCTGCTCGGAACGCGGCCCAGCAGACCGCCAGCCGCCCGCTTAGACAACGACCCCATGCAGTTCATCACAGGAGAAACTGCAAAGAGCAGTCTGAAGGCGTGCGTCCAAAAGGGTTTCCTTCTCTTTTTTTAATGAGCAATTTTTGGCTTTGGGTCACGCCCAGCAGTGCTCAGGGGTTGGTGACTCCCGGTTTTCCACTCGGGAATCACTCCTGGCGGTGCTTGAGGAACCAGATGGGGTGCTGGGGACCAAACCCGTGTCAGCTGCAGGCTGTTCTCTCTGACTCTCACTGTTTATAACAACTGTCCCGGTACCCACTAAAATGCAACATGTAGTGTCAAAAGAGAACAGGCCACCACACGTGTCTCCAGAGCAGACCAGCCAGAAACCACCTACGATTGCATCGGGGGGAAAATGATTTCCAAGAAGGAAAGTTTTCATGTTCTTAGCCCTGGGAAATGGGCATATATGGTTACTGTATTAGGAGAAAAAATAAGATACTAAATTGTTGGATTTTGTAATTTCCATTTTAAACAAAATTCTGCAAGCAAATACATAAAACAGGAACAATGGTTCTCTGGATAGTGGTAATGCAAGAGTCGTCTTTTGGGGGCCCAGAGAGATTTCTCAGTGGGCTCTGCCAGCAGCCGGAGGGGGGTTTCCCTTTTGTACAGACTACACTCAGTGAGGTCTTGTGCGATTCCAGAAGAAAATGACCCTGCTTTGGCGAAATTTATATTTGGGACATAAAGCTATGATTTCTGGGGAGTGCTTCAAGGGGGCCCTGTGCTGGAGGCCAAGCCCAAGATCCCAGTGAACGAAGGGGCACAAGGAAAACGAGTGGTGAGGGTGTGGCCATCTTTGTCCTGGGGTTTATTTTGAGGGGACAGGAAGAGGAGGGGGAGCTATTAAATAATTTGCTTGACAGGAGTTCAGAAACTCATGGAGCCTCCAGCAGGAAGTTACCAGGACTCTCTTCTGCCCTATTCCTCAAGAAATTTCCTTTTCAAATCTGCCTGCATGACCATTTCAACAATACAAATCAGTGCTCAGGACTCACGAGACAGCACAAAGGACGGGAGCTCAGACCCAGTGTGTATAAGGCTCTGGGTTCAACGCCAGGCCCCGCGTGGCCTCCGGGTCACCCCTGTTGTGGCCGTGGGGAGGACACAGCACCCAGGCTTGGCTCCCCGGCACGACCCCAGCACCACACGGTCCCTCCAGGCTAAGTCAGCAGCTCCTCAGTCCCACCGGGTGTCGCCCCCCAAACCTCTCACCCTCACCCCAGAAAAAGAGCAAAAACCACCACAAGGCAAAAAGGAACCGTCAGCCAAATAAAGGGATTTTTAAAACTCAGTTTAGGGCCCCACTCAGATTCTAGGGGTCAGATCCAGTTTCTGTGAATGAAAACTTTGTCCTCCCCACAGGTGCCACCAGGGGGCTGTTTCTTTCCTGCTCTCTGGGAGTTCCCCCTCCTCGGTGTTACCTGACCTGGGGGCTCTAACCCATCGCCCGGGGAGTTGATGCGGGAGGGAGGTGTGCTGGCTCTGTTCCAACCCCGGAGGACAGGACAGGCTTCAGCCACCAGAGAAGCGGGCACCCCGACCCCCTCTTGGGCCCGGGCCTCACCGGTACGTGTCTTCGGAGTAGGTTTTCTGTACATAGTCTTGCAGCTCCATCTGTGCCTTTTCCTGGAATTTTTCAATCTGGCTTGTGCTGGTCAAACCTGGATGATCTGAAAAGAGAAGAACGCCCCAAACTCCCTTTATATTCAGAAAGCCTCACCTGACCATTGTTCTGGAGGGACGGGTGGGGTGGGGGAGGAGGGGTGGCACACGAGGCAGTGCTCGGACCAAGTTCCAGAGTCATACTCAGGGCTCCCACGTGAGAACATGGCTCAGTCCCCCGGGCTCTCTCAGGCCCCTACAGACGTCTCAGTACCTATTCTGAGTCAGGCTGACAGATAGACTGGGTCCTGGTCTGGACAGCAGGACGGGGGCACCATCAAAGCCCGAAGGGTCCCCGGAGGGGAGGGCGGGCTCCTGCATGGCCACGCCAGCCTCCACGGTCCCTGGGCACCTGACTCCCTACTACTCTGGAAACCGGAGTTTTAGATTACCACATAAAGCTAGAAATGACGGCTTTCTACACATTCAATCACTCTGATGAACGAGCCGGCCGTTCCTGAACAGAGGCTGGGAGAAGGGCGAGAGGGGCCAGCTGAGGGTCGGCCGAACACCCCCAGGCTGCAGGACACTAGTGTGTGACAGCCCTTACTGGATCTGATCGCATATCCTGAGGATTCGCAAAGAGCCAAATGATACAAAAAAGGACGAGTGGCCGGCCCCTCCATTCTGTCCGCGCAGTCTCTCACGGTCCGTGCTTTGCTCAGGACAGAGATGCAATCTCTAGTCAACTAAGTCAGGTACTGTGGGGATGAAGGCAACAGAATCTCACCCAGCAGCGCTAGGAAGGAGGCCCCGGAGCAACGTCCTGGGGGGCTCTGAATGGGCACTCACCGGAGTACCAGGATGGGCCCAGGGCTGCCCAAAGGCCGGGCATGTGCTCTTCCACCTCTGAGTATCAAAGCCCTGAAGGCAAGGACTTACAGAAGCACGCATGTAACTTGTGTTGGCCTGCAAAGCACACCTATCCGAGGAGAGCCTGGTCGTAACGTGGTGCGGTCTCTTTCCTGTGCATGTCCTGACAACGTCAATGCTCGGATTATCAGTAGACACAGTGGAAAATGCTCATGAGTCCCCATGGCATATCTTACCCGGGCTAAAGAGAACTATAGCTTTAAGGTATGCATACTCATAGCCGTCAATATCCAGCTTGGCCATACTGTTACAGAACTCCTGAAGCTTCCAGATGTGCTCCATGACTTGCTTTATCCGGTCACCAGAAAGTTTGTCTGGGAATGAAGAACACAGACCCTCATGTCAACGGGAACACACGCTGCTTTGAAGGGCCACAAAGATGGAATCATTTTCCTTTTGAATGAAAAAACAAAACAAGAAGCAACCCCAAATATCTGACGATGGCTAAGAGCTTCGTTCTCCAGCTGCAGGCAACGGGCCCAAGTCCCACATCCCTTGCGCTAGATCGTTTGCCCACTACGGAGCCTGTAGCCAGCGAGGCTTCCTGGAACCCGGGCGGCACTCTGGGTCTGGGTGTGGGCAGGTGACTCCCGGGCCTCTGCTCACGACCTAGATGCCAGTTCTCATCAGCACTCAGGTCTTCTAAGCCTGCAGGCACTTAATACATGTTTGCCAACATACAAATTAAATGCCTACTTTTTTTTTAGTTGACCAAACAATTTTGTAATAAATGATCTAATTCATGATATCTTACTGAAGGTATCACAACCAGCTAAATAATGAAAACTTAAACGTTCGTGAGCAGAAGGGGAAAAAAAAAAGGAAAGTTTGTGAACAATCTAACAAATTCAATAAAATGTTATAGGATTTGAAGAATCCAAAGGAATGACTAGAAAAGAAAGCTGGGCGCAGCAGCTGCACCCCAGCCCCGCAGAGGCCCGTGAGTCGTGTCTGGGCAGCGCAGAGATCGCATTGCACCGGGCAGCTCCCACCCTGACACGGTGGGCCTGGACCACCAAAGGTCAGATGCTGCCAAAGGCCTTACTAGGGAAGAATCGCCTGCTCACTCTTGAGAAAAGAAAAGAGCTGAGCCCCAAACCCCGAGTCCAGACCGAAGCTCCAACCCTTCTACTTGTTCTTTCATTTGGCACAAACCAAGTGAACCTCAGTTTCCCCAAGTGTAATGAGGAGAGAACAGTTTCTCTAGGGTTTGAGAGTTGGTGAGCCTACCCTCCTGCAGGCCGCCGTGTAGGGCCTGCTCGCCTGGCCCAGGCCTACCTTCCTGGATGCTGTTCTGCAGGTGGTTGACGATGGCCGCCAAGATAGTGGAGAGACTCATGACCTGGGCACACTGGGCCAGGCCGAGGGTGAAGAGCTCATTCCAGCAGGCCCGCACCAGGCTGGTGTTGCAGTCCTGCCTAGGAACACAGATACCAGGATGTTGGCACTTCTCCAAGCCCAGCTGAAACAAGCGGATTCAGAAAACGTACAGTGCAGGTCTGGGGCCTAGCCAGGGTTAGCCTCCACTGCATCACTGCCCGTACACAGCTAAACTAACGTGCCGTGAGGGCAAACACAGAGTCCTGTGCAAAGGATTCCTTAGGCAAGAGCGCCCCAGAAGGACTTAACCTACTGCCCCTTTTACAGGGGAAAAATAAACTCGAGAGTATCCTACCAGAATCTACCATGTTTGAGTGAACAAACAGAAAATACCCCCTAATTCCACTCCAGGGTATGACGGGGCCCCAACTCTCACCTGTTCCCATGCCCCAGGGGGCGCCATCCCCTCCTTGGAGACACTGCTTCAGATTTCAAGAACCAGCAGCTTTGGTAGCCTCGAAATCACAGCAGTGCTGGCGTGAGAGGAGCCCACCCCGCATCTCCCCTGAGACTCAAGGGCCTGAGGCCCCCATGGGGAGAGACTAGAAACGCAGGCAGGAGGAAGGGGTCAGACAAGCCGATCCTGTTTTGGGCAGCACGCTCAGGACAGCTTGGTGGATACCCTGCAGACACTATGACTTACTCTGGAACGCCCCAGCCAGCTGCAGCAGCCCTCGACTTCAGGACGAGGGACCGAGTGGTAGTACGGCAGGTAGGGTGCTGGCTTTGCATATGGCCAACTGAGTGCAAATCCCTGGCACCCTATGTGGTCTCTGAGTCCTGATAGTAGTGATCCCTGAGCACAGAGCCAGGAGGAAATCCTGAGCATCGCTGGAAGTGACACACACACACACACACACACACACACACACACACACACACACACACACGACTTCTGGATAACTCCTGCCCTCTATTCCACTGCACACTTGGCTCGGGCACCAGGCACAGAGGCAGAGGGCTGGGGGAGCCCCCCCCCCCCCCGACTGCCACTAGGGGCCTCTGCCTTGGGCCACTGACAGCCTTCCCAGCAGAGCCCTCGGGTACCCTTGGCACCCCCGAGAAAGGAGAGGGCAGAGTAAAAGATGACTCACCCAAGAGCCTGGAAGGCCGGGATCGACCTGGCCCAGTGCATGGAGAGGAAGAGCAGGCGGGAGGCGGACTCGCAGATGTAGTGCACGTTGAGGTACTCGGGCATGGGGCTGGGCATGGTGAGCTGAGGAGAGGAGGGGCGGAGAACAGGAGGTGTTGGCAGGACAGAGAATGGCTTTGTCTGTCGCCATGAGTCCCTGTGGCATTTCGACAATCATGGCAGCACTGTCACCATCTCTGACGCTGAAAATCCTGGCTTTGTTTTTCTTTGGCCCAATTAGACAGGTGTGATGACCCTGGGGATGTGGTCTGCGTGCAGAGCAGACTTCTAAATCCTGCTTCGGGGGCCAGAAGGACAGTACAGCGGGTAGGGTATTTGCGTTGCACACAATTGACTTGGGTTCAAGCCCCGGCATCCGGTACGGTCCCCCAAGCACAGTCAGGAGAAATTCCTGAGTGTAGAGGCAGGAGTAACCCCTGAGCATCACTGGGTGTGACCCACAAAGCAACAAATAAATAAACTCCTGCTTCAGCTGAGTTGTGACTCATCCTAAGGCACTTCTGCTTGGAGCTGCAGGCTCGTGTGTGTGGGCCCAGGAGCAGGGTCCGTGCCTGGCTGGGCGTTTGGGGAGAGCTGTCTGGCAGGAGGGTGAGACACACCACCAGGGTATCAGGCCCAGGGCTCTGGGCACTCCACTGTCTAGAGGGTGCGGTACTTAGTGCCCACGGAGCTGTTCCTTCTGCATCCCTGGTTCAACCTTCCTAAGTGGCCCATCAGCTCTTTCGGCAGAGAATTCTAGGGAGAAAGGAGACTCATGCTTTGTAGTTCAAGACCGGGAGGGCTTCGGGGAAGCTGTGAGTGCCCTGAGAGCAGGTGAGAGGAGGAGAGCTCGCCAGGGCCTTAGCAGCGCTCCCAAGGTTATCCGAGATCTACCCGTGTTGCTGAGGGGGACAGGATCGGGGGGCGGCTGGGAGTGAGGCCTGCTGCCTGCGAGGTGAGGCAGAGGCCAGGAAGTGAGTGCCAGCAGTCGTGGGTCCGCGAGCAGGAGGACTCAGGCTGCCTTCAGAGCAGCGGGGCCCTGCAGGACAGGATGAGGGGTAGCAGGTGCTAATGGCAGAGGGAGCTTCTGTGCGGGGGTGACCTTCGCCGCGGCACACCAGCTGTGACAGACCCCTCTCCCGCAAGCTGGGTGCCAGGGCACCCGGTTCGCCAGCGCACTCACCTTAAACGTGACATGAGTGTCCGACAGGAGGGGGCCCTCCACCTCAATGATGGGTGTGGACTGGTCTCTGCTGATGACGTGGATGCTTCCTCCACCACTCGTGTCCAGCCCGTCAGCCAGGCTCGGCGGGGAGGAGCTGTCTGTGGTAGTAAGTGCTTTAGCTAAGGTATCAAATGCCCTGAGAGCAAAAACGAAGCAAGCAGATGTTGTAAAATGCACAGCTTTTAGGGAGAACAGAATCCTAGCTGAGGCGTAGTTTCAAACCACAATGCCCAGAGAGAGGGTGATCAAATGGCATCTGTGAGGGAAGGGAGAGCGAGTGAAGGTGTTCTGTGATATTAATCTTCCGTCGGGGCACTGAGGTATACAGAGCGTACTTAAAAAGGTGAAGGGACGGGCAGGACACTCGCCTTGCCTGGGGCCAACCCAGCCTCAACCCCAGCATCCCATCTGCTGCCCCAAGCTCCGCCAGGAATGATACTGAGCACAGAGCCAGGAGTAAGTTCTGACCACCACTGCGTGTGGCCCCAAAGCAAAATACTAAAAAATTATGGCAGCATGTATATCTACTATATCTATATCTGTATCTATATCTATCTATATATACATACACACACACACATATATGTGTATATATATATATATGCATAGGTGTGTACACATATACACAGATCTGTATCGGGTACGCTGAGCTTAAAGTGTGTCCGTTCCTTCACCACACAATTTATCACTTCCACCAAATTTACCCATTCCCGTCCTTTTACATTATTTTCCTGTGTAATCTTCCTCCTACTTTTTGGGCCACGCTTCTGGTGCTGGCTAACTCCCAGCTCGCTCCCGCGTGCCAGAGCGCATTCGCGAACCCTGTGTGCCAACCCTTTTCTCAACGACGCTCCAGGGAGAAATGTTCTTCCTTTCACAGATGTGCAAGCCAAGGCTTAAAGATGTTAAATACCTTTCCCAAGAATACCTGCCCAGTTAGTGGCAGAATCAGAATTGAACCTAACTCAAATCCATCAGCTGATGGATTCCGAATCTTGACTTTGCTGATCAATGGCACAAGTGAACTTAAAGGGCCAGCAAACTTCATGATCCCTAGCCATGTCCCTTCCAAGCTGACCAGACAGGCAGGTATGATCTGTCCTACAGGAAAGGAGGAAATTACAAGAGTCGAGTTGCAAAGAAGAAATGCCTGTGGCAGCCTGTCACCGATGCTGGGGACCAGTTACTGCTCTCTCAAGGACAGCGACCTACCCCGGTGATGACCATTCTCTCAGGGTCAATGACCTACCCCAGGGATGTCGCTCTCTCAGGGACAGCCACCGACCCCAGTGATGACCAGAGTCTGAGGAACAGTCATAAGCTGGTGATGCCCACTGTCTCAGGGACAGCCATCGACCCCAGTGATGACTGCACCACACCCACAACTTGGAAAACTACATGCAGGTGGAAGTGACAAGAGAAACATCTGCCACTGATGCACTTGCTCCCGCGCTTCACTGAGTTACTCTTCATTTTTTGGGTCTGGGATGAAAGGCAGTTTTGACTTCTGATACCATGTGATGTGTGTCCACAGTACCATAGAAAAACGGAAATGAAGACAGATGTGTAGGGGCCCTACGACAACTGCACAGCCTTAATTAAACTGGACAGGATGTCAGAGTGCTGTGGGTGTGGGTGCCGCAGCCACCTTCATGGTACGTACCGCGTGATCTCACTCGCAGACTGGTCCTCCGGCTGTATTTCCGACGTATCGCCATTGTTAAGGGACTCGCTTAGGTTGGCAAGGGAGGTGACTACGTTTGCCAGAGTACCCAGAGCGCCCTGGCTTGTTTCAGCCTATCAAACAAAAACAGTAAGGTGGACGTGAACAACACATACCCTGCCTCTGTCCCAGGAAAGCGTATGGAACGCTGACATAAAAAGAAGCACATGAAAGATGCTTAATACCACTGAAAGTACTCACCAAGATCACAGTATCACTGTACTCCAAGGTAGTCAAAAATGACATACTGAATATCAAGTGCTGATGCGGAAAATCCTGAACCCCTGAGATCAGCACCAGGAGGATTACTCCATAGCTTAGTGGCCAGTTGGGCATTCTAGAGGAAAGGGCAGCTCAGATAGAGAAGGGAACACCAAATAAAGGGTGTTTGGAGGACCCTCCCAGGAGGGAGGGGAGAAGCATGTCGAAAGTGGACTATGGACTGAACATGTTTGCCACTCAATGCCTCTTTTGCAGACCACAACACCCAAAAGGAGAGAGAGAACACAGGGGATTGCCCTGCCACAGAGGCAGGGGGGGATGGGGGGATGGGGGTGGGGGGGATATTATCCATGGTGGTGGAAAATGGGCACTGGTGGAGGGATGGGTATCTGATCATTGTATAATCAAACCCAAGCACAAAAAATTGTAAATCTACAACTGTACCTCATGGTGTTTCACTAATAAAAAAAAATAAAAAAAAAATTAAAAAAAAAAAAAAAAAGAAAATCCTGAACCCTCGTCCACTGCTAGGGAGGATACATGGTGCCGCCACTCTGGAGAGGGGCCCAGCGTCTCCCAGGAGGTCAGACACTCACCCACCACAGGACCCAGCTCTGAGGTACGAACTCAGGAGAAATCAAAACGCATGTCCAAAGAAAGTGTGCCTAGGGGCTAGAGCAACAGACAGCGGGGAGGACGCTCGCCTTGCTGTGGCCCACTCGGGTTCTATCCCCAGCATCCCGTATGGTCCCCCAAGTCCCGCAGGAGTACTGATTCCTGAGTGCAGACCCAGGTGTAATCCCTGAGAATTGCCGGGTGTGGCCCCAAACAAAACAAATGGAAAAAAACCCCTAAAAATTCACAGCAGCACTATTCATAATAGACAAAAAGCTAAAATAATCCACTTGTTTATCAGCTGACAAAATAAAACGTGATATAAACATTGACAGAAAGGTGAGACAATCCACATGTTTATCCGCTGAAAGATGAACAAATGAAATGTGATATGTGCATTTAACGGCACGCTAACTGGCAATAAAAAGGAGCACTGACACAGACTAAGCATGGATGACCTCAGGAACATTATGCTCTGGGGAAAAAGCTGGTCCGAAAGGCACTTCCTATGACTTCTTTTACAGAGAACATGCAGCCTGGAGGAACCAGCCAGAAAGCAGGTCAGCTGAGCTGTCAGCAGGTTTGGCGTTTGGGAGAAGGAAAGTGACAGCTTAACAGATTCGAAATCTTTTTGAGATGAGCTGGCTACAGGACCTTGTGAATATTAAAAGCCACTGAACAATGTATTGAAAAAGGTGAGTTTGATGGGACACAGCTACTTAGCTTTTAACAAGTCAAGTCACCAGCTCACAGTCACCCTGACAGAGACTGATCTGGAAGGGAGAAAAAGCTGACGGACACCACTGCAGCAATGCTCTGTCCTGGTCTGGGCGCTGTTCTGTAGCTCAGCAAGGTGGAGCCTTGGGGAGAACCGGGGCCCACGTACTGGGATTGCCGTGGTCTGACTATACTTGCTCAAAAGCAGTCAGCTTGCACGCAGAGTTATTTTTAAGCAGAGTCCGTACACTCAGCTTCTGAAGACATATGCTTTCCTTCCTTTTCCCTTTCCTCCAGTGGGTGGGGGATGACTCCCAGCTCTGTGCTTAGGGTCGCTCCTGCTGGTACCAGAGATGGGATGAGGGCTGACCAAGCATAAAGCAATACCTCGAACCCTGTGCTATCTCTCCGGTCCCAAAGTGTGTTATGTGCGCCCCCTACTTCACGGCCGACTTCAGGGTGGGAACAGAGGAGGGGATGAGCTCTGATGCCACCTGATGCTGCAGCTCTTCCTCTTAGCTCTTCTTTAAGTAGTTTTTGTATTTCTGTTCTACCCAGTGCCACTACTTGCCAACCAGTGTTCAATGATGCTCACGGCGTGCCAAGTACCTTATAAATCTAACTTGTTTGACTTCTTCCTACCCCCCTACTCAACCATGCCTGACCCTAAGACAGACTCCAAGTTCAGCCCAAGAGGAGGTGCGGAGGGCAGCTCCCAGCCAGCCTTTCTTTCCTAAAGATGCTGAGGTCTGGGAGATGGTTCAAAGAGCCGGAGCGCCAGACTCGAAGCCACTGATATACCAGGAGCAGCACACCACATTGGCGGGAACGTAAGCAGAAGGCAACATTAACACACAAGGCTTAACCTGTAACATGTTAGTGATCGCTTATACAAGGGCTTAATGGCACCAGGGTGAGACACAACAATCTTCACACACTTTCTTTTAAGGAAATCTTTTGTGATCATTTTATCGAAATAATCATTAACGAGCAATACAAAATAAATTATTCAGGGCCTGCTACTGGGGCAGGCTTGGGTAAGGGGTAAGGGTTGGAAAAATGGAAATGGTGGTGAGATTGGTGCTGGAATACGGAATGTTATAAACGTTATAAATACAGTGGACTACTTAATAAAAATTAAAAAAACACATGCAAAACAAACAAAAAACCCCAAAGAGCTGGAGTGACGGTACAGCAAGGAGGGCATCTCCTTGCACGAGATCCAACCCAGGTTGGATCCCCAGCACCCCAGTTCCCCAAGGCCCAGGGGAGGAATTCCCAAGCGCATTCCCAGCAGCAAAACCTGAGCATGGCCGGGCGTGGCCTTCAACCCAAGCAGAACCACAGAGAGAAGAGCTGGAGCACACGCCTTTACGAGCCAGAACCCCAGGTCCCATCCCCACGGAGCGGGAGAGCGCAGAGTGGCGAGGGCAGCTGGTCCAAATTCGCTTCCTGGTCCCCCAACACAGGGTGTGGCCACCAAAACAAAACAAACTAACAAAAGAACTCTGGGTCTGACCCCTGATACCACAAGGTCCTGACTGCTGCCGGGGCACCAATGAGTGTCGCCCCCAACAAAAAGATAAAAGGTCAAAAGAGGATGATCCTTAACACAGTGACTCCTCAAGCAGTTTATAATAATTTTCATTTCCTTATCAATCCTGCTTTTCCCACTTCACTCCTTTCGGGCTGTGGTCCCCCATTTCTATGATTTCCAGCTGTCCCCCTATATTGCCCTGGGGGCCTGCGAGGAACTGACAAGCTGCTGTCAGTGATGAGGGCATACACTCTGCATCAGAACTGTGACGAGGGAGCAGGGAGACCTCCCATACCTCCAAATCAGAATCAGGAAAGCGCCACGTCAGTGCCCTGTCAGCAAGCCTCTTCTAGAGGAGAAAAACTGGGCCGCAGTTGTGGCCACTGCTACTTTATGGCTCGATTTCATCAGAAATAAGGAGAAACCAATGTTCTCTTGGCTGGATAAAATCCTCTCCTCAGTATCTTCACAAAAGTGAGCTGTTGTTTCTCTCTTGGCGCGACAAGCATCTCTTTCTACAAGCTACGGGGAAACTCCCTATGGCTGACTGGCTCAAGGCAAGATTTTCCAGAATTCTGCTGGACTTCCTCCTGAAGATCATCTAACTAATAAATTAAAAGGCGACTTGGCAAAGGCCACTGTGGAAGCCCAGCAGTTTGTCAGGAGGGGGAATCCTCAAAGAGTCAAAGGACTTGAACCAAAATGAATGCTTTGTGACACTTTGTGATACTCAGGGATCACTCCTGGCAGGGCTTGGGGGACTATAGAGGGCGCCAGGGATCAACCCTGGGTTGGCATGGCTCCGGCCCTATGACTGAGCTCCTGGAAGGTTTGTCAGTGGCACCCCTAAGACAAACCACAGGATGCTGGATTACAGACACAAGTCAACTGACTCACACAATCATGCTTTCAACCTGGTTTCTGAAGGCCAGAGGAAGGTAGGTGCACATTTAGATCAGCTCTCTGCAGGGAGCAAAACACACAGGAAGCAGAGCACATCACCTTGGAGTCCGTGGCCAGAAGAACCGTGCCGTCCTCACGGATCAAAGGCTGCTGGATGTTCACGAGCATCCCGGGATCGAGAAGGCCTGTTTGCCTAGGGGAGAGGAAGCCAGGATAGCACCGACGCTCCATGCTCAGTGGCATTAGGTCATTCACGTCTCCTGACTCTGCAAAGCTGAGTAGCAGGAGAGCTTTGGGAAGACCCTGCCTTCGAAGGAACAGCCCCCCCACTCCCAGACCAGGCAGTGAGATGGGCACGAAGGTCGGTGTGGTGCCTGTGGATGCCAGGAGATGCCCTTCTTAGGGCTCCTCCGGTGGCCACAGACTCCACTCTCCGAGAGGCCGATCTTCAGAACATCTCGGAGGATTCTCTGGTCTCATCCTCTGGACCACACAAGACTTGGGTCCTGCTTATGCAGGACGGAAAAAGGAACCGCGGCATTGCCATGGAACTCCCCTGAAACTATTCCTCCACGTGACTGACACCTAAATACTGCACATGATCCGAGTCCCTGAGGATGGAGAAATTCTGACCCCATTCTTTCTGTTTGGCTCCCCCTCACTCCCCACCCATCCTTCTGGCACTAGGGATCGAACCCAGGGAGCCAAATGGTTCCACGGGAACCGGACACTTTACCACTGGCTCCATCTCCAGTTCCCCCGAGCCCCCAGGAATTAGCCATCTGAGGCCTGTCCCGAGGTGAGGAGGGGATGAGGCCAGACAAGGTGCTCTCTGCCCAGGAAGCGTTGCATGACTTGGATCAGTTCCAAGGCTGACTGGACACTATCCCACCCCTCAAAAAACCAAATAACTAGAGGCCAGGGATGCAGTTTTTTTGCCCTTTGTCGAAACAGGGACTGACCTTGCTCCATCTTTGTCTGCCACAAATGTGGGCGTGGCTATCAGAGGGCTCCTCAGGTCCTTCCGGATATAGATCTTCTCTGTGGAAGCAGCGCAATTACTTGGTTTTTCCCGCTGCACATCGAAGGGCTTCCGTTCACTCTGCACAGCTTAAATCACAACGTGAACATTCATGTTAGAGGAGAGACCCCAATCAATAAGCATCTTTTGGGGTGCAGAAAGGGGTCCTTCTGGGGAAAGCAGAGATGGCAGGCTCTGACGCTCAACGTTCACGGTTGAAAGAAAGAGCTCAGGGTGGAGGGCACTGCCGCGTGAGAAACGTAGCAGGCTTGCCCAGACTAACAAACACCAACGCTTCCTCGAAGAGGAAGCACGAACGAGGCCCAGGCCCGCTCTCAGGGAAGGGAGCGTCTGTTCCCGGGAGAAGACTGTGCGGGACTCTGCACCTCTTTACTCCTCAGCTGAGACCCACAACTCACCGTGCGGCCTCCTGACTGCAGGGGAGGCCGCCGCCATCAAAGAGCTCACTAACCCCGCGGTGTTGGCGCAGAGTCATTTACCTGACCCAGAAGGGAATCCCAAATGGGGCCTGAGTGGGTTTTTTCCTTCACACTATAATATACTCTTGGTGGAAGCCAGAGTCTCCTGAGACACTGACGCCCAGAGCCACAGCCCTGGCCTCTATTTCTTTGGCTTTGAGGCCCAGTGGTGCTCATGGAATACGTCTGGCTCTGCGTTCAAGGACCATCCCAGCATGTTCGGGGACCGTTGTCGTGCCGGGGATGGAACCAGGCGCCGCCTTGTGTATGGCAAGCTTCCCCGTGCTTGCGAGTCCTTCCCAGCCTTTTAAAGCTGATTTCATTTGTTCGGGGGCTAGATTTGGTGATGCATGAGGGTCACTCCTGCTGGTGCCTGGGGTACCATGAGGGCCAGGGAGTGATCCTGGACTTCCTGTCTGTGTTTCCAGCCCTATAGCACCTTAAAGTCAAGTACAGAAACTTCACTCTCGCCCTCCTCATTAACCCACATTGCTATCAAGTATTGCTATTCCAAACCAAACCAATACAGAAAAATCAAGTTACTCACATTCCATTTTCATGCCCATCTCTAAGCATTTTTTCAGCCGACAAAACTGACAGCGGTTCCGATGGTGTTTATTGATAATACAGTCTTGGTTGCTCCGGCAACTGTAGGTCAGATTTTTCCTTACGCTCCTTTTGAAGAAACCTTTGCAGCCTTCACAACTGACAGCCCCATAGTGACGGCCTGGACAAGCAAGAGAGCAGTGCGCTGTTTAGCGAGGAAGCGGCCAGATGCCCTCGCCCTGTTTTTAGGCAGGTCTGTCTGAGCCTCCGGCCACCAACAGCTGCGGGAGAACAGGCTGAGGACCAGCTTCCAAGTAGGGCACAAGGGAAAGATGCTCTGACCGCTTACAGACGACAGCTAGATGACAGCCTGTCAAGCTCTGGGCGCACGAGGGGCCTCACTCCATGCAGGGGCTCACGGAGGGCAGCTGACACGTGCCCTGGCCCTGCAGGGACACACTCTCCGTGCTGCCCACAGCAGCCTCAGGCTCAAGTGCGCCTACCCAGTCCACACATCTGCTCCAGCTGGGACTGGTCACGGATGTGTCCTTCGGGTTTGATCGCACATCCCCCAACGCCTGAGCTACGGATCTGGATGACACATTCGCAGGACATCCTTTCTGGCCACTGAAACACGTTCCATTGTGCTCGGTTCTCACACGCACACCGCTGCCCAGTGCGCATGTGAGCGCTCAGCAGTGCCTTTCAGGGCAGCTGCGCTCAGTGACCACGTGGACACTTGCTCTCCTCTCCTGCACACTCGACCCTTAAAGTGGTCTCTTCCGTCTGGAGACAAAGGTGGCTCGAGTCTGCGGGTAGGGCTTTCAGTGTTGCAAGGGACTGCCAAATGGAGAAGCCAAGTGGAGACCCCACCCCGTCATCATGCTCACGCTTCACTTGTGTAAAAGGCTGAAGAACGGGGATGCAGTGACCGAGAGTGGGGAGGGCACTGGCCCAGCATTTGGCTGACCCAGGTCCTGTCCCTGGCACCCTGAGTGTCTCCGAAACCCTGAGTGCATATCCAGGATTAAGCCCTCAGCACATCTAGGGGTGGCCCCAAAACAAGAGACAAACCAAAAACCCTCCCCAAACAAAAAGACCGCAGAGTGCCTCTACCGTGCTGACCATGGCAGACAGGCCACACGGGACTGCTGCGCTAACAAAAAGCACTTACTGGCGGGGCCTCGAGCCCAGAGTGTTGATTATCAGAGAACTAAGTACAAGAAAGCGTCAGGCCAGAGAAGCACTGGCCCCGGCCAACCAGGGCGGGCGAGGGCGTCTGAGAAAGGGCGCGCGGGCTGCGTTTCCCAGGACTAGAGGCTGGAGGAGAGGGTACTCCAGGGGAGCAAACCGAGTCACAGCCTGGGGGCGGGGGGGGGGGGGTACGACAGAGTTTCTTTTGCCTTTTTTTGGGGTCACGCTCAGCGGCACTCAGGGCACTCTGTGGCACCTGGGATTGAACTTGGAATGGCAGCCCCATCTGCTGTACAATTCCTCTGGTCCTCCTCTTAAGTAAATAAATGAATTAAAAAAACAAAAATAAAAACAAAAAAACCCCCAAAAAAACAAACTTTCTGTTTGCTGCTCGCCATCCCAGGTGAGGGGCCTCCAGCTGACAGTACTGGGCCTGTTCCTCTGGATAGGGAGTTTGGGGAGGGGGGGGGCCTCCCAGTAGCCTCCACACTCGGCATGAATCATGTTAAAGGTCCACGCCACAACCCCTGAATCTGCCACACACAGAACAGACCTAATCAAAATATACACTTTGCTCACAGTTAAGCTTCCTGTTGCTCTGTGAGGACGGGCAGGGGGCAGAGCACTCTCCGGGAAGGGCGGGGATAAGAGCACTCTCCAGGAAGGGCAGGGGACAAACATGGTCCGAGACAGGCGGGGGGCAGACACTCTCCAGCCTAATCCCTCCGCATCTTCTGGGGATAACTACGAAGACTCACCCCCAGCACGGGAACCCGGGACATCACCAGGGAAGCCCAAAGCAGCCCCCAGCTCAGTGAGTGAAACAGCCTCACTGGAGGCGTCCACACCGGTAACCCTCAGTGTCTGCAGGACACTGCGAGGAGGGGGTTCAATGAGCACCGAGAAACAACAGCACAGGGGGTCAGCACAGCGGGGCAAAGTATGAGAGTGGGAACAAATAACCCGCCACAGCCAAGTGACAGAAACGAAGACCGTGGCGGGGGAAATGAAAAAGGCTGACAGGAGCCCGAGAGGAGGAAGACGCCGCAGGAAACAGGGTGGGAAATCGCCTGGAAAGAAAAGAACCGCGACCAGAGAACTAAGGGTCGGGCTCGAGGGGAGCGAAGGAAGCATCAGAGGGCCCCGGAAGAGAAGGGAGGCAAATGTGATAAAGAAACATTTGATAAAGAAATTATCAGGGCTGGAGCGATAGCACAGCGGGTAGGGCATTTGCCTTGCACGCGGCCGACCCGGGTTCGATTCCCAGCATCCCATATGGTCCCCCGAGCACCGCCAGGAATAATTCCTGAGTGCAGAGCCAGGAATAACCCCTGAGCATTGCCAGGTGTAACCCCAAAAGCAAAAGTAAATATAGTAATAACTGAGAAGAACTTCCTAGAGCTGAGGGTTATTGGCACCAAGACCCAAGAAGCCACATGTAAATTTGTTACATGTCTGCTAAGGGGTAGGCTGAGGGGTGTAAAAAAGACCAAATTAGGAAAACGGCAAGACACATTATACTCAAAAATGAAAAAATCCAAAGTACTGAATGCGGCGAAACCAAAAAAAGACCTGCACACAAAAAAAAGCCCATAAGATGCAGAGCGGATTTATTAAATGAGACTCTACAAGCCAGAAGAATACAGAACAAAAACTCAATAGAATGAGCAGTTCAAGAATACTCTATCCAGCTACATAATCATTCAGACTTAAAGGAACTATACAGAGCTTCATGGACAGGCAACAGCTTAAGGAATTCGTAGCCTTGAAACCAGTTTTGTAAGAAGCATTTAAAAAGTTCGTTTAAAGAACAGGAAGAACTTCCCATATGTGGCATTGAGCATGCTACTAACCAAGAAAGGTTAAAAACAGACAGCAATTCATCACCATAAACTGACGTTTATTGATATCTGGTCATTCTATTTGCCATTCCCTTAAGATTTATTGGGCCAAGTAAAAGGAAATAAATTTGTTACATGTCTGCTAAGGGGTAGGCTGAGGGGTGGGCAGGAACTTGGGTGGTGGGAGTGGGGTTGGAATGTTATCTGTCTGGAACAACTTTATTAGGAACAACTTTCTAAATTAGTATTTCAATAAAGGGCTGGAGCGATAGCACAGCGGTAGGGCGTTCGCCTTACAAGCGGCCAACATGGTCGACCCAAGTTCGATTCCTCTGCCCCTCTCAGAGAGCCCAGCAAGCTACCGAGAGTATTCGATATGTCAAACACAGTAACAACAAAAGTCTCCAATGGAGACGTTACTGGGCCCGCTCGAGCAAATCGACGATCAACGGGAGGGCCTTTACCTTTATTTCAATAAACATTTCAAAAAATAAGAAGGAAAAAAAGATCACTGTCCAACCAAAAGAATGAAAAAAGAAAAGACCACAAAGTGCCTAGGATTTCTGCGAGCTCTGAGAGCACGCCACGCACAGCCAGGGGGCCCTGGGGCCTGCCCCGGCGCCCGGGCCACGGCTGCTTCCCCAGACGCTCCCGCATTCCTCCACCAGAACGGCTCAGAGGTGGGACTCGGTCTGGGGACCCCTGACCAGACACAACAATATGCCCTGACCGCCCATCATCAGCGTTTCTCAGTGTGCCGTAACCAGGGAAGGCAGAGACAGTCACAGTCAGGATGCAGGGGAAGACGCAAACCACGCGGGTGCGAAATCACGAAGCCCGGCACAAACCGCACTCGGGAAATTACTTTCTCGGGAGCACTGAAACGTTTGACGTGTGAATGTAATTTATGAATCACGGAAAACACTCTTCCTTCTGAATTGAGCAACTGAACAAACTGGCCCGCTCACATCGCTAACCAAGTAAGGAAGTGCAGTTCCTCTTTTGGAGCTGACACACCTACGGAACGTGCTTCCTCTCCACTAACGGCCTCCTGCCCTGCAGTCCAGCTGATGCTGTTGGTCCCTGATACAAGCACAGCGGAACAAAGGAAGGGTCACTCACCAGAGGCTTTGTCGCCGCAAACCACACAGTACTCCACCACCTGGGGTCGCTGGACATCAGTCTTCCCCAGCAGACGCTCCACAGAAGCAGAATCGGTGACAATCTAAGAAGAATGGGGAGAAGCAGGTGCTGATTAAAAACCACACCACCGGGCAAGAGGGCTGAACTGTCGATTCTTAACTCCGGACTTGGGACAGCAACGGGAAAACCACCTGACAATGACCCCAGAGCCACAGCCGTCAAGGTGCCGGTGCCACTGCGCTCTCTTCCTTGGCTGGCCTCACAACCCAGGATTGGCGGGGTGGGGGGACCAATACAGATCAACACAAAGAGACAAGGTCGCTTGGGCTGCCTCTCTTGTTCCAGGAACAGCTCACAAATATGCAAAATGGACTATTTGGCAGAGACATAATCAAGCTACTGACTAGGTCTTTCGCAGTGAGGGGGCAGTGGAAGTGCTTGAACAGGTGACCTCCGAGGCCTAGCTGCCCTTTATTTACAGGAGGCAGACAATGGTTCTCATCTCAAGAAAACTGACACTAATATGAGAAAACAAAAAAAAAAGCGTGCTATTTTTAGATGACCAGAACATACTCTGGGGAAGGAAAAGCAGCACTTACTGTACTCAAAGAGTCCTAAAAGAACAGCTTTGAAAGTTGAGCATGTTGGTAGTCTGAGCCCTATTCCATTAGAAGAAAATAAAATCCTTTCCTTACTTTTCTCATAGCTGCATTCCCTCCCCGCCAAAACAACAAAATACACCCACACAGGCCCTTGCCTTATTTGCAGCAAGAGACCCCAAGAAGAACAACGCTGAGTACCCACCCGCAAATGAGTGGTTTCTACCTACGATGAAAGACCATTCTGCCTTAAAAGAGGATGTTCATCGCGTGCTCCAACAGAGGCATTGAAAGATTATGTGAGCGGAATACTCCTGTTACAGGAAGAATTAACACTCGCTCGTGCTACAGGAGCGTTCCTTCTGAAGCAGTCAGAGGGAGAGAGGCGGAAGGCAGAAAGGTGCTGCTGGTGGCTGGCTGGAGGGAGAGAAAGGGGAGTCTCCCTGGGCAGAGTCTACTCTGGGAAGAGACGGAATTCTAGAGAAGGAGGCGTGGATGGTCACATGACAATGTGAGCACAGAATACCACTGAGGTGCAGAGAGATGATTAAGACGGCCAACTTCATGGTCTATTTTAACACAAATTAAAAAGCAAAACAAACAAACCACACGGATTCTCCCTTGATCTTGACTAGACGGACATACTCCAACCATGGAGCCTCCATCACCCGCTGTGAGACTTGGGAATCGGGACTTCGCGGTAGCCCTGCATCCTTCAAGCCTCACTCTTCTTCCTGTACCTGCCTCAACCCCATCCCCCCTTTCAGAGCAGCGAGAGACAGCAGAGGAAGAGATGAGAACTCGGAGTTGGAGTGATAGCACAGCGGGTAGGGTGTTTGCCTTACACGCGGCCGACCCGGGTTCAATTACCAGCATCCCATATGGTCCCCCGAGCACTGCCAGGAGTGATTCCTGAGTGCAAAGCCAGGAGTAACCCCTGAGCATCGCCAGGTATGACCCAAAAAGCAAAAAAAAAAAAAAAAAAAAAAAAACCCCAAACAAACAAAAAAGAGATGAGAACTCAGACCCAGAGGCAGGACTTCAGGAAGGATGGGAGGAGCTGGGCCCAGGTTTGCCGACACAGAGCTACGAAGACTTACGAACAACTCCTGACTGCAGCCACTGACTTTGCAGGCCCCACTCCATTCCCCCTGGGCCCAATCTGGCTGGCTTCCGGACTAGGCTACCCATTTGCTGACTGTCTGCCTTAGCGGAAGTAGCAGCCTGCTGTATTTACAGGCTTCCAAAAGTCTGAGGGATGGAATCTAACCTCTAAGAGGGAGTTAAAAATCAGAAACACGGGTCAGAGAGTACCGCGGGCAGGGTGCCTGCCTTGCACTCGGCTGCCCCAGGCTGGATCCCCGAGCACCCCAGGGAGAATGCCTGAGTGCAGACCCAGGGGTGACCCGAGTTACGGCCAGGTGTGGCCCCCAAGCGAAAAAGGAAACAAAAATGAACGGGCAACATGTCCGTGCTCAGCCGGCCGTGAAGCACTGCGACAAGCACTGGGCACCGCGACAGTCTCACCTGGATCCTGCCAGGGACAAGGCTGTCCGAGGTGGTGAATATGAGCTGCTTGGCACTGGAGGTCTCCGGAGAAGCCAGGATCACCTTGCCAGTTCCAGCTCCATCTGGGCTGGTCAGGATGAACTGCTGCTTGGGGGAACCGGAGGCGTCCACCGCGGTGACTATCTGGATTTTCTGTCCTGTCTGCTGGTCTGTCACAATCTACAAGACACAACACGAAGGCTGCTCTCATGGAGCATCGTGTGACCTGTGCGCTTGCCGGCCTCTCCGACACGCGCTTTCGCCAGCCCGTGGGGATGCGAGAACCACAGAACACAGCAGTGAGCTTCGCAGAAACCAGTTTTCACGAAACTGATTTTACTGTAGGGTAGCTTTCCTATTCTGCTGAGAGCCAAAATGACCTGTCTTTTGTGGAAGACACTGAACAGAAGATGACAGACTTGGTATCATAAAAAAAAATGCTGTGACAAACTTTTCTGAAAGGCTACCAATTAACAAAATGTAAAAGCCTGGGAATGACAGTTTTAAACAAACGCTCCCTTTGTTTCTTTACTGAACCATTTTGCTTTCTGGGCCACCCGCTGCTGTGCTCAGGAGTCACTCCTCGTGGGGCTTGGGGACCAGGATCAGACCCGTCAGCGGCGTGCAAGGCAAGCACCTGACCTGCTGATTCTCTCTCCAGCACTGATTTCTAACAGGAAGGCCCCAGTCTTGCCTTCCTACTGAAGTGCTAAAGTCCGGAGCCCTCTACTACCCCACTTCCTGAGATCATTAAGGCTAGCCCCTCTGTCACGAGGGTCCTTGCCTGATAGAGAAGAGCAGTGACCACCACTCTGATGGGTGGTGCTGGTTCGCAGTCCCAACACTGACCCCACCCACTAAGCAGGAGGCCAAGTCATCAGAGTCCTAGTCCCAGTAGGGACGCGGCCTCCCCCGTTAGTCCTCAAGCACCACCGGTGGCCCTACTGGCCTCCAAGCGCCAAATCATCAGCTGCCCCGCCAGGCTGGGCATTGCTGGTTGTAGTCCCTATAAATCTAAAGACAAAAGCTGGGCCAAAGCTGCTGCTCTGGAAATCGTGATCTCCCTCTGCTCTCCTTTCTATCTTTATCCCTTCTGACTAGTCCAGATGCCACATTTAAAAGGAACCTCTGCTCTTGCTCAGGAAGTTCTTGGAAGCTACTTGGTTCCTGTCCTGCCTCTTCTAGGCCACGTCCCCCACCATGGAGCCCTTCCCTCTTTCCCCTGGGAACACCCACGGAGTGGCTGCCCCCAGGACTGGGGGAGCCGGACTCGATCTCTGGCTGGAGTTCAGCTCCCCAAGCCTGTTCGCGGGTGGAGTGGCCCTGTGGACCGCCTCTTAATAAATGTCGCTATGGTATGTGGAATTCCCAGATTCAGACAGCAAATACAGCCTAACACAACAGCTTTGTCAACGGCCAGTCAGAAGGAAAAAAGGTCAGACAAGGTGGGCTGCTTCAAAAGAAAATGACAGGTCAGAGCAGTTGTACAGACAGCAGGCAGGGCATGTGGTGGGCCCGGGTTTGATCCCCGGCACTACATATGGTCCCCAGAGCCCTACTGGGAGCTATCCCCGCCCCGAGCACAGAGCCAGGAGCAAGCCCTGAGCACTGCTGGATGTGGCCCAAAAGTTGAAACAGAATACAAACCACAAAGAAAACAACATAAGCAACATAGACATGACGGAGACGTAGATCCGAAGGGGGAAAGAGGCTGAAGCAGCGGCCTGCAGGGGGCGGGGGTGCCTTGCCTGGGCTCCATCCCTGGCACCCCGTATGGTTCCCTGGGTCACACCAGCAATGATCCCGGAAACTCAACCAACTAAACAAAGGAGAGGAACATATCTAAAACGATCTGTCTCATGTGTGGGGTTTAACAAGCAGCACAGCAAGGAATCAACAAATGGGCAGAGCAGCAGAAGCTGAGACCTGGTCTCAGAACGGCGCCTGCATGCTGGGAAAAGGGGGTGGGCTGAGCACAGGGCCCGCTGGTCTCCAGACGGTGCCTGAAAACCTATCGTTCAGGGAAGTGGAATCACAGTGCCCAAAAGAAAGGAGAAAAAGAACACAGAACAACTAACAAGTGACAAGACAAAGTACTCGGCGGTGTGACGAACAGGACACGATTCAGTGAGGGTCCAGCACAGACAGGGCAAATGGAGGGAGAAGAACATGGGGCAGGGGCAGGAAGGAAGGCACTTCCGAGGGTCCAAGGGAGCGACCCTCGGCAGGGACCCCGACAAAGCAGGAGGCCACAGAGACAGGCGGCCGGGCTGCAGGCTGGGTGGGGGCAGGTGAGGGGAAGAGGTGAGAGGAGAGAGAAGAGCAACGCGGGAACAGAGATGAAGGAGAAACCCTTGCCGATGGCTGGGACTGCCCAGCGTGCCACAATTTCCAACTGAAGGGTCCAAAGATCTTTAAAGGCGAAGAGAAAAGGAGAAGGACAGGATCTGCTTTTCATGATCACAACCTACCCCAGACATTCTCCAGAAGAGCAGGACACGGCGGGGAGCCCCGTGAGGGCAGGAAGAATGCTCGCTCCAGGTGCTAGTGGTCCTAGTGGCCTGCCGAACCATCCGGCCGGCACTGCAGGGGCAACACTGACCTCCTTCTGGGCCCCAAGTCTCAAACCCAAGCCAGCACACGCACTGGTCTGCTGCCACGGGAGACTCTGGGAGACTGTCTTACTGGAGACCGGGAGGGCCCGTGAAGGCGCCTCCCCTTGAGATGCCTCCCTTCTTTTCCAGGTCTAAGCCTCGTTTCCTTCCTAAATGAACTTCCATGTCCAGAAATAGAATGTAGGGGCCTGGGGGTGGCCTAAATGGCAAAAAGCTCCTGGCCCGCAAATAGGAGGCAACAGCCTGCGGCCCACGAGTGCCCACCCCCCCGCCCCCCCACCCATGGCTTCGCTCTAACAGGAAGCACGCGACCTCCTGTAGGCCAAGGTGTGTGCGATCCCCAGCCGGCACCAGGAGAGGAGTGCCTGTGGGTCCCACCACCTCGGACAGAGGGAAACAGCGACCAAGCACGCAGTCTCGTTCCTGAGCCGTTTTCACGCGGCAGGCTCACGACGCTTTGCTTTTAGGGACGTTCAGGGATCAAGCTGCACCTGAGCTCAACGCAGAAGTAGCGTGGCACTTCCGTTTATAGCCCTAAAGCGCGGTAGACGCGGGCCGAGGTGCGAGGCAGGAGTGACCAGTCCACTCAGAGGGACAGGTGTTCGGGTGCCTGTTTGTAAGACCCCAAAGCCCGGATCATTTCCCCACCCCCATCTTTACTTGCCCTGCAAGGTGGAACCCTGAGCTTCACACATGCCAGAAAGCAATCTACCCTGGAGCTCTTGAAAATTTATGAATTACTTTAAAACTGTTTTCAAAAAAATTCTCCTGTCCTAAAACATTTGTATTTTTCAGTTGGGGAAAGAAAAAAAAAAAGAAACAAAAACTTCATGGGAACAAAAGCTAAAAATTTAGGCAGAAACCAAAAAAAATCCCAAAACCGAATTAGAACTATGGGGAGACCATGAGGTAAACAAAGATAGATCCTGAACAAAAGCAGGTTCACTTGCAAGGCTGCCATCAGATTACAACTCTAACTCCCTCGGCTGCGTGCGGGACCCCCGAGCGCTGCTGGACATGGCCCCCATCCAACCCAGGCCCCTAAGTGTCCTGCGCCACAAGGCCGCACTGTGCCTCTCCCTGCACTCTCAGAGTTGTTCAAGACCTGACTGTCAGGGCCTGAGCAGGTGGCTGGGGTGGCCCTACAATCAATAAGCATTGTGTGGGGCCGGAGTGGTAGTACAGCAGGAGAACATTTGCCTTGCATGCGGCTGACCTGGGTTCGATCCCCGGCATCCCATATGGTCTCCCAAGTACTGCCAGAAGTAATTCCTGAGCGCAAAGCCAGGGTAACCCCTGAGCATCGCTGGGTGTAACCCAAAACGAAAAAAAAAATTTCAATAAGCAGCATGCTCAGAAAGCCCCAGGGCCCTGGTGACAGGAGGGGCGTGATGCAGCCGGAAGGCACACAGGCCAGAGGCTTGGTGAGCAAAGCAGCTGGAAGTGGCAGATCTACCTGTGCTTCCCTGCAGTCAGAGAGGGGCAAGGCCCGCAGAAACCTTTTGTCCAGACTTTCGCCTCCAGAACTGTGAGAGTAAAAATGATTTCTATTGTCCGCATGGCAGAGCCTGCGAAGTTCCTGGTGGCGTATTTGATATGCCAAAAACAGGGACAATATGGGGCTGGAGTGATAGCACAATGGGTAGAGTGTTTGCCCTGCAAGCGGTTGAACCGGGCTTGATTCCCAGCATCCCATATGGTCCCCTGAGCACCGCCAGGAGTAACTCCTGAGTGCAGAGCCAGGAGTTGCTGGGTGTGACCCCAAAAGCAAAAAAACCAAACAAACCAGTAACGACAAGTCTCACAATGGAGACGTTACTGGTGCCCCCTCGAGCAAATCGATGAACAACGGGAGGACAGTGCTATAGTGCTATTGTCTGAAGTCACCAAATTTGTCTAATTTACTATAGCAACTCTAAAATACACAAGAAGTGATCTTTATTTAACTTTATTTTACATGGAACAAATGTTTATGCTTCTGGCTGGCAAGCATTAACAGGTGAGTGGAGAAGAACAATCTTTAAGGAGAGGTTTTTTTTTTTAATTGGGTAACCTTTTTTTCCTTTCTGGTGTTGGGGATCGAACTCAGGACCTCTGCTACTAAACTACATCCCGTTGACCATAGAGCGCCACTAGTCTGGTTACACAATCAGTGTTGCCAGAAAGCACTAAGTGCGGATTCATTCCCATGTGATTAATGCAGTAGAGAGCAATTTTCATTTGTTTACACCTCCTTTTCTCCGTAAGTAAATCCAGGTGAAAACACAGTGACACCCAGGGCCGTGGGCTGTGTGGGAAGAGCCTGCTTCATGCCGTGAGGCTGCAGCGGCTCCCAAGGAGTCCCGGGACGCAGGCCTGTGAGGAAGCAGCAGTGTCCTGGCAGGGAAGGCACTGTTCACTGCGGTCATTCCACATCCCTTGACCAACTTGATAGGTATGTAACCACCAGTTGTGGATTCTGTGGTATTTTGGAGGTGGGATGAATGGAACAGGGGGAAGGGAATGACGCCCATGATTAAGCCTAGGCTCTCAGACATATGGGATTATGTTATACTCTGGCCCCTCCAACGACCGTTTCTATTCAATTCATTCTGGTTTATGCAACTTTGGAGTGACAAGGCACTATAACATCAATTTCCTGTGGTCCTCACTGTACTCATGGGAGCTCTTGGCAATGTGTCACATTGTAACAGAACTGACTGTATTCTAACAAAGCCTTAATTCTACCAAAAAGGAGTTCATCCAGCGCTCTGCTCCTAGCTAACTGCCCCTGGGAAGGTCAGCTGCTGGGGAACGCACCAACATTACGATTTTTTAAAAACTGATTGCCCACATCTAAATGACTGTTCTCCAGGAAAAAGTTCCTTGATACAATGGAAGCACTGGCCATCCTTGGCCCCCATTTCTCCGTGGCACTGGCCAGGCGAGTGAGTGTCCTTTGAGAGACTGCACAAGTTCTCTGGTTCACCTCGACGCCCGCCTTCTCCACCGCCATCTGGTCATACAAACACCTCGTCTGTGATCTGGAGCCGGAGCTTTGCAGCTAAGTTCAGAATGAAGCGCTCGCGCCCCTCCTTTCCAGCTCTGCCAGGGGGGCAGCAGTTCCACGAGCCTCGAAGCCTATTTATACAGTTACAGAAAAGACCAAGAGGGCAGCGAAAGGGTATGACGGATGTCGAAGTTCTTCCTATACCACCAACACAAGGGGACCTCGATAGAAGTGTCCGCTCTCTGGGCTCTCTCATACTTCTCTCCTCGCCTGGCCAGTCTTGTGGACCCTCCCCATCTCACCAAATCCCTCCCAGTGAGAAAATCTGCACTTTGTACGGTGCACACTCACATATGCACTCTTCAGGAGATAGGAAAACAGTGTAAGTGTAACATATAATGACTCGAGTGGAAAAGAATTTATAACACCTTTTTTAAAAAAACACGTATTTCCTTACACAGAAATTACAGAGCTTAATAATCAGACCCTGCTAGTCATTTGAATACATGACTGTTCTGTTTATAAGGAAACGGCGATGGTTCCATAAGCATTAATCACCCCCTTCCCAACTCTGATCAGTTCCTACATTTGAACAGTCTTTCTTACAACCATATGCAATACAAGGGAGCTTAATTTTTAAGTTTTTGCTAAAGGAGTTATTGTGTTACACCTTAAATGGTGTCCAGTGGACAAGGCCTGTGCACTACCCTTTTGATCTGTCTCCTTGGCCCCAAGAATGCTTCTGATTTTTGGTTTTGGGAGACATATGGCTCTGCATTCGGGGATTACACCAGGCAGGCTTAGGAGACTATACGTAATACCCGAGATCAAACTCAGATCAGACACATGCAAGGCAAGCACCCTATCCACTGTACTATCTCTGGCCTCAAAATGCTTCATTTCCTCAAACTATTAAACTGTCTTAAAAATCAAGATAGAGAAGGACTGGAGAAATAATGGTCAAAAACCAAACAACTAAACAGCAGTGCATTTGGGACACCAAGAGATGAGGTAAATGGGATTACATGAGCTACTTGGTCAAAACTTAATGAAAGACAGGGAAAGAAGCACCTAGCGACAAACAGAAAAGAACTATGTATCTGGTGATTTTACCTAAATAATAATTTAAGTGTGAGTGGTGTATATTATATCAATTAAAAGACAGAAACTTCAATTTGAATTAAAAAGAAAACCTAATCATGAAAAGGAATGAAAACAATTAAAGCCCTAGACACAGACATACTAAAAATAATGGGCTGAAGAAGATATGCTGTCCTGATACTAATCAAAAGACAACTAGGACAACTATATTAACTTAAGGACAAAACAGACGGTACAATAAAAAAAGTTGTCTGGCATAACACATCAGACATGGTGCCTGCGGACGGCTCAGCAGCAAAAACACCAACTTGGCAAGCACCAAACTCGATCTCTGGTGCCATCGATATGCAAAAGCACAATCCCAGCGGCTTTGCTCTCTGGGATCTCCCACACACCATGCCAAGAAAGCAATCCCGGGGAAGACAAGTCAGCGAACGCAAGCTCCACGAGCACGTCTGTGAGAGAACAGTACAACCTGGGGTGTACGACCTCTGCTCATCCGTCAACAGCAGCGACAAGGAGCAAGGACGGGGCGGGGGGGCACTCATGCACAAAGTTTTTTATAATGTTAATGGACAGTACATTGGGTAGGGAGCTTATCTCGCATGTGGCCAACTGAAAGTTCCATCGTCCCCTGCACTACAGTCTCCTAAGCAGAGCCAGGAGTGAGCCCTGAGCACTGCAGGGGTGGCTCAGAACAAAGAACATAACCATCTTTTAAATGTGATTTACCTAACAACAAAGCATCATAAGGAGAATCCTGATAGAAGTGCAAGGAGAAACAGAAATCAGCTATTTTATTTGGACATAAACCCTGTCAGTAATTGACAGATCCAACAAAGACAGAAAATCAAAAAGGATATAGGTGACCTGAATAGCACTACCAGTCAATGACTATAATTAACATTTATAAAGCAATGCATGTAATAGAAGTAGAATCCACATTCTTCAAGCTGGCATAGAACACTCACTAAGACAAGCCATACTGAGTCAAAAATGCACCTTGAAAAATAAAAACCAGACAGGGCTCAGCGGTAATGCACTTGCCCTGGAAGTGGGAGGCCCTGGGTTCAATCCCCAGCACTAGGAAAAAACAAATCCTGCAAATAAAGTACCTAGATAAAAAAATAAAAACCAGTGATAGCTAGAAAGTCTCCAAAATATTCGTAAATTAAACAACGCATAGGTCAGTTCAATGCAGTAAAAACTACTTTCACTGGTATAGAAAGACATTTTCCTCCCTTCCCTTCTCATCTGTTGCTGTGACGACAGGGTTTCACGCACTTGGCTGTGGTGTTTACACACTTTTTGTTTTACTTTATTTATTTTTTTTTGGGGGGGGGGGGATCCGGTGACGCTCAGGAGCTATTCCTGACTCCATGCCCAGGAGCTATCCCTGGTGATTCATGGGGACCATAGGCAGTGCCCGGGATCCAACTGGGGTAGGCCACATGCAAGGCAAGCGCCTTACCTCCTGTCCTAGCTCTCTGGCCCTTCTGTTTGCACACCTGGTGTGGTGCTTACACACTCAGTGACAATGCTCACCAAGGGCGGGACTCTCTAGTTGCTGCGCCTGCACATGTGCTCACCAGGGGCTGCACTCTTAGCTCTGCTGTTCATGCAGTCTGTTGTAGTGCTCACCAAGGGCTGTAATCCTGGTCGTGGTACTTGCATGTCTTTTAGTGGTGGCTGCTGAGGGCTGCACACTCTCTTACTGCAATGCTCACACACACGTAGTTGTGCACCAGAGACTACATACTCGGCTGTGGCACTGTGGGGGGAAGGGGAGTGTGTCTTAGCAAAGTTGCAGGGACTGAGTCTAGCATACATAGTGGCCACAGTTGCAGGGGAGGCACTACTGGCCACTAGTCATTCCTGGCCCCGACCAAAAACCATTTAAACTCATGGGCTCAGCTAGAGAGTGGGGAACTACAGCCAATACCAAAATCAGCCTGGAATTCCAGTTGTATAAATGCTATCTTAAATATTCTGAATACCTATTCTCCTATAAAACAAACGCTTAGCAGACTGAGTTTTCTGTGCCAGTGATTCTGCAAAAATCCATCTTACTGTATGCTGTATCCTAAGTCCTAGAGTAAACTTAAATAATAAAATTACAATAAAGATATCCTTTTCAGAAAAATCTCTTTGAGTGTGTGGGTAGGAAAACTAGGAAGAACAGGGAAGAGTATTTTCTAATTTATGATCATATAAAATTTGACTATCAGCTTTGATAGTGAAAAACACAATGCATTCATTAAACACGTATGCCTGAATAAATATGAAACTGCAAGCTGTACACAGAAGTAACTGGATCTAGCAAGAGGAAGGCGACAGAAGAGCTTGGAGGCGCCTCGGCAGGTGATGCAGTGGGGACAGGAGGTAGGCACTCACACTGGCCCTGTGCAAATACACCTGTGCAGAACCTCTCTGAAAGGCAGTATGGCAAGAGCTGTAAAATTTCCCAAGAACAGGGGCTGGAGGGAGAGTACAGTGGGTGCGGCGTTTGCCTTGAAAGCACCTAGCCCAGGTTTCATCCCCAGCATCCCATATGGTCCCCTTCCGGGCAGGAAGCACAGAGGCAGGAAGGAGTGATCCTTAAGCACCCTGGGTGTGGTCCCCAAACAAAAACAGACAAAATTTCTCCAGGACACACCCCTTCTCCCACCTATCTTCCTCTGATGTAATGTGAGCCCCTTGGCCAGGCCATTCATGCTTTTAATGAATCTACTCTTTCAAGAAGTCACTACTTGAGTTCCAAGCATTGTTTCTTGTTGAAACACTAGGAAATTCACTCTCCTCCCAGCTGTTAGGGGACTGGAGATTACCTAGAAAGGAGAACTTCATTTTGGCCATCAGTACCAAGAATCAAGAAGTTATCCTATTGCTTCATTTTCCTTAAAAATACACAAAAATCCCCAAACTTTGGAATATAGTCAATTCAACTATACTGAAACATAAGCATCTTACTGACAATATGCAGTCAAAATTATTTTCAATTATGCTTACTATACAGAAGTTTCATGTCAAGTGTTAGTGGCCTTGGAGAGTAAAGGTTCAACAATAGGCATCTCCTCTGCAAGACTTCTAGTTCACAGTATCCTAGCCAGGACCTTGGGGTTGCCATGGGCCAAGCACCAGGGGCAGGGAAGAGGCCCCAGAGAAGAATATTCAAACGGCTCTTAGCAAGAGGAAGGCGACAGAAGAGCTTGGAGGCGCCTCGGCAGGTGATGCAGTGGGGACAGGAGGTAGGCACTCACACTGGTCCTGTGCAAATACACCTGTGCAGAACCTCTCTGAAAGGCAGTATGGCAAGAGCTGTAAAATTTCCCAAGAACAGGGGCTGGAGGGAGAGTACAGTGGGTGCGGCATTTGCCTTGCAAGCACCTAGCCCAGGTTTCATTCCCAGCATCCCATATGGTCACACCCCTGAGCACTGGGTAAGTGCACCTTCTCCTGAAATGGCTCAGGATATGGCTCAGGAGTGTGAGGCCCTAAGTTTCCTAGCTAGCAACATCAAGTTTTTTTTAGAAAGACATGAAGAATCTCAGAAGTCTATCTGTTCTCATCTTCCCTCAGATGGTTCTGTGACCACGGTGCAATAGCCATGTTAAAGCAGAGGTAATTTCCAGAGTCAGGAGAATTGTAGAAAGAACTCTAATGCCTATTATGTAAAACAACGCACACGTACCCTACTTTCAACTCATTACCAGCAAATAATAAAAGAAAATTAATTTAGCTAAAGTTATAAATTCTGAGGAATAATGAAAACTCCTTCATGTTGGACTTGTGGCTTATTGGATATCCAAATACTTAAGTGTTACTCACTTGGTACGAATTTAAAATAATGACAAATAGGTGGAGCGATAACTCAGAGGGCTAGAGAAGCAGGAAGTCCAAGTTCAATCCCTGGTACCCTGAGCACTGAGCTGGGAGTAGTTCCTGAGCACTGACAATTATGGCCCCCAAACAAAACAAAAATTCAAGTAAATGGACCTTTGCACTTATGTAAGTACTGCACAATACAGATAAAATGGAAATCTAACTTCTTAATTCTGTCTTCCAAGCAGAGTGAACGAGGTTCAGGGGCACCATCTACTTGGGATATACCTTGGTAGCGATTGGGGACACCCAGGGCTGCACCCAGCAATGCTTGGGGCTGGGGGGGGGGGGTGCTGGACACTGAATCAGGGTTGGCTGCAGTCAAGGCAGGCACCTCTAAGAGGTTTCCCTTAGATTATCTCTCTGGCTGGTAATATAAATGTTTTTTCTTTTGAGTCATACCATGCTGCGCTCAGGGCTTACACCTGCCTTTGCGCTCAGGAAGCACACCTGGCAGGGTTGGAGGACCATATGGGGTACCGGGAATCGAACTATCAGGTCAGTGGCTTACTAGGCAAAGGCCCTCCCCACTTTACTTTGGCTCCGGGCCCCTAAGTCCATACACTGACGAGGACACAATGCCTCTTAATTTGGAAGCACATAATAAAGCAATATACCATCATGATAGTTTGTAAAGAGCTTTGACTTTTGCAGTTAAACAAGTGTAATATCTCTTCTCTCTTTCTCTCTCTGTGTGTGTGTGTGTGTGTGTGTGTGTGTGTGTGTGTGTGTTGGGGCTACATCCAGCTGTGCTCTAGGCTTGGTCCTAGCTCTGAGCACAGAGATCACTCCTGGATGAGTTCAAGGGATCATATGTGGTGCCAGGGATTGAATCCAGATTGGCTGCGTGCAAGGCAAGCATTATATCTGGTCCTACTTTTATTATACATGCACATATACATATCTGTATTGCATATGCATCTAATTTTTCAGGGATGGGGGTTGCATCTGGCTGTGCTCTGGAGCCATACTGGATGCCGAGGATCAAACCTGGGTCAGCAATGTGCCAGGCAAGTGCCTTATCTACTGTATTCTTTTTCTGGCTTTTCTTTTATTCTTTTACTTTTTTTAAGATAAAAATTAAAATGAGGCTATTGTGTACTTAGATGTCCAAGAGGTACAACTCCTTAGTGAAACCTCTGGGATTCGGGGAAGGCCACAGAACTGAAACCAAGCGGGACAGGTGCCAGTACCTGAATGCGCTGAGGTGAAGCTACCGCAGAGTCGGTGGAAATTATCTGGATGCGTGGAGAGGGGCTGGTCATCCCTGGAGATTCCGGCCGAGAGGTCTGTGCACGCGGTACCTGTGGGTGAGAGGTGAGCTGGATCAGAGTGGGTTCAGAAAGGCATATGGAGGTGCCCTGGGGATCAGGCCTCCTGCTTTCACTAAAGCTCTGCACAACCAACTTCTGGACTTAAGACCCAGGAAAACAAAGGAACTGATGAGACACTACCACTGAAGGACCCCATGAAAATACAAACTTTTGAGAGTGTGCGTGAGGGATTGAACCCCGGGCTTCACAAACGTGAAGGGTACATTCTAACTGCTGGGACTTGAAAATAAAATCTAATAATAGCTGCTTTTGACTTTAAAAACACAAGGGGGAGGGCGAAATCAAGGGATTTTTCAGGACTGTTTTACACAACTTCAATAAAATACAAAGCTACCAAAGTAACTTTATACTAATGATCTTGAATTTTTTGGGTTTTTTTTGCTATCTCCCAAGTCGGTTATACAACCTCCCTTTAAGACGACAATGTGCAGAAGAAAGGCTCTTACAACAGAACTGGCATCACACTGAAAACTGCTGAGATTAAAGCTATTTGCAGAATCCTGGAAACCTCCCAGTCCCAGTGGGATGTCACTGGAAAAAGCCCACAGGTAACAGATGGGTCAGGGATGTAGCCAATTATCACTAAACACAAGGTGAAGTTCCGAGTGGTCACCTGGGCACTTAAATCAAGCATTGTCTTTCCTCATCAGCAGTACATTCTGGGCCGGAGAGACAGTACAGGGGTGAAGGCCTGGCCTTGCATGTGTCCATCCATGCTAGACCACTGCCACCACATTGTCCCCTGAGCACAGAGCCAAGTAGTTGTCCACAAAAGTCACGAGGTGTGGCCCCAAAACCAAGACAAAACAGAAAATGTGTATTGTGAGCCAATGCTCTACAAACATTTCTAAAAAAAAATATAAGAAAGGGGCCAGAGAGAGCACTGTGGCTAGGGGCTTGCCTTGGCCGCAGCACACCCACGTTCAATTCTCTGAGCCCTGCTGGGACGTTTATCATTAACGGTGCTACTTGTAAGTCCTAGCATCATTTCAACAAAAACAACAGGTATGTTTTAGACACATACACACACACACAAACACACAGTTTGCAATTCTAAGAGATCAACCTTACTTGATACCACAACCAGACAAAAACATCACAAGAAAACTACAAACCAGTATTTCTTGTAAAAATAGATGCAAAAACCCCTCAAACACTACCAAGCCTAACCCAGCAGCACATAAAGGCTTGTACACCATGACTACAGGGATAAAGGGTTGGTTCAGAAAAAGTAAATATATACATGTAAGATATCACATTAAAAGGAAAGTCATATGATCAGCTGAATAAATGCAGAAAAGGCATTTGACAAAATTTAACATCCTTCCATGGTAAAATCCTTAAAGTAGGAATAGAAGTAAGTTCTAAATGAAGGGAACTTACTAATGAAGGGAATCTAGAAAAGACTCAAAGCTACCATAATATAGAATGATACCCCTAAGATCAAGACCAAGACAGCCTCATTAATCACTTCTACTTCATATTGCGGGACTGAACATGGGAACAGCCACTTGCAAGGCAAGCGTCTACCCACCATTCTATCACTTCATATTGCATCGGAGGTTCTAACAAGGGAAATCAGTTAAGGAAAAAGAAATAACACACAAATTTTCTTCCCTCAAAGATAACAGACCTCCATTTGGTCAAATGACCTTTCACAAAAAGATCTAGAAAGAAAAAATTAAAAGTAGCTATTATTTAAACATGACATGAACTTGAATTCAAAAGAGCCCAAGAAAGCCACAGAAAACTATTAAAGCTTATAAATATAGTTCTAGATCAACATACACAAACATACACAATCATTAAACTTCAACAGTCTGAAAGTAAAATTAAGAGAACCACAGCCCAGGTTATTAAAAAAAATACACGGAAGTAAATTTAACAAAGTGCAAGACTTACACACTGAAAACTATAAAACACCATTAAAACAGAAGATAGAAAGATATGAAAACATCCATAGTTATGGATCAGAAGAATAGTGTCAAGTTGTCAATACAACTCAGCTGATTCATCAGATTCAATGTAATCCCTGTCAAAATCCCAACTGCCTTATTGTATGAATTGACAAGCTGATCCTTATAGTTATTTGGAGGAGCCAGAGTGAGAGTGCAGGGGTAGGACATTTGCCTTGCACAGGGCCAACGCAACGCTCGATTTCCAGCACCACATACGGTCCCTGTCTGTCAGAAGTGGTTCCCTAAACACAGAACCAGAAGTATGCCCTGAGCACTGCCAGGTGTGACCATCACCTCCAAAAACACTCAAACCTCCCCTCAACACAATGAAAATAATAAAAACCCCTAAAATTCACAGGGAAACAAGAGACCAGAGCGACAGTTAGTGGGCAGGCAATTGCCCTGCATGCAGATGATCCGGGTCTGATCCCTGGCATGCAACGTGGTCCCCTGAGCCGTGCCAGAAATGATACCAGTGTGGAGAGTCACGAATAACCTCACAGCACTGCCAATACAGCGGTTTTTGAGCATGGCCCAAAAACCAAATAGTTTATTTTTTATTTATAAATACCAGGGACCCAGAATAGCCAAACAATCTTGAAGAAACAAGCAGGAAACTCACACTTCCTGATTTTAAAATATATTACCAAGCTACAGTAATTGAAGAGTTACAATGATATAAACACAGGCAGAGAAATGAATAAAATGGAATATCGTGCCCAGAAATAGACCTTCATATGGTCAAATGACCTTTCACAATAATGTCATGACAACACAATGGGAAAATTATAGTTTTTTCAGGCTGAAACTCAATTATGAACAACTCTCTGTGTATCTCCCAGTGAATTAAAACAGAAGAATAGCTTTTTCAAGGATGGGACAAGTGGACATAGCATGCAAGAGAATGAAGCTGGATCCATCCCTCAAAGAAAATAGGGAAAATTAACCTAAAAAGAGGATTCTAATGTTTAACATCAGTCACAAAGAAAACGCAAACCAAAGCCACATCAAGGTACATCACACCCAATAGGGTGCTTATGAGAAGAGAAAGGGAACGGCCATTGGCAATGATGTGAGGACACTGGAACTCTAATATACGAGGGTGCATGAATATAAAATGATGGAAACAAAAACGCCAGTTTTCAAACAGGTAAGTGTGTTGCCATGTGATTCGGCATTCTATTTCAGGTTGTATATGTAAGAGAAACAAAAATTATGCCCATGAATATTCAGAACGCAATTATCCCTGATGGGCAAAAACTGGACACAAATCAATGACTATCAATTGATGGTCGATTCATATTGTGGAATATTATTTTGCGATAAAAAGGAATGAAGTACTGTTACTTGCTACACCAAGGATCAACCTTGAAAACATTTACCTGAGTTAAAGAAGAAAGACCCGCAAGCCAGAAGGGCCACATATGGTATGGTTCCCAATAGCAAATCAAATATCAAGTCAATACAGAAAGTAAATCAGTGAAAGTAAATCTATGACTGCCGGGTTAGAGAAATGGTGTGTGAATGTGTGTGTTTGTGTGTGGGGGGAGGGAGTGATGGGTTTGACAGCTAAAGGACAAGGATTTTGAGAAAATCAAAACTGTTCTGGAACTATGTAGTAGTTATGGCTATACAACCATGCAAATAAATCAAAATACAGGATTGTATACTTTATGTAGGTGAACTATACGGTGAATTAAACTGTAGAAAACCTCTTTAAAAGGTTTTGGGAAGAATGAACAGACAAAATATTCCATGTGATATGAAATGCCAAGTATCAAACATAGGTCAGTTACTTGCAAGGCAAGCATCCTACCTATTGGTCTGACCCTTACATATTTTTAATTTGTAAAAAGTAGGCATTTTTTTTTTTTTTTTTTTTTTTTTTGCTTTTTGGGTCACACCCAGCGCAATGCACAGGGGAATTACTCCTGGCGTTGCTCAGGGGACCATATGGGATGCTGGGAATTGAACCCAAGTCGGCTGTGTGCAAGGCAAACGCCCTACCCGCTGTGCTATCGCTCCAGTCCATCTGTTTCAGCATATATAAATATCAAATCATTACCTTGGACACCTGAATTAAGGTTATATGGCAATTACACATCAAGTATTCAATATAAATGAATGCTTCTCAATTGATCTTCCGTATGGTGGTAAGTTATCTCCATGACTCGTTTTTAAAATTTACTTCAGTATAGACAAAACCCACAACTGTTGATACAATTCTAGAGTTGAAATTGATTGGATAACAGAGAAATGACCCCTGAACACTGCCAGGTGTGGCTCAAAAACCAAAACCAACCAACCAGAGCATTTTAATCCATGGTCTAAGAAGTCAGAACGGAGGTATCTTTAGAGAGTGAAAATGGAGTGGGGACTCCTAAGAGGGCACAAAGGTTTGTGGGCCGCAGGAAATTCTATTTTATTTTAACCTGGGTGGAGGCAGCATGAAAATTTGTTATGTCTCAGTGTTATATGCTTAGGAATTTCGACTTTATGTACTTTGTTACAATAAAAGTTTACTTAAAAGAATGAGTCTCGGGCTGGAGCCATAGCACAGCCGGTAGGGCATTTGCCTTGCACACAGCCGACCCGGGTTCGATTCCCAGAATCCCATATGGTCCCCCAAGCACTGCCAGGAGTAATGCCTGAGTGCATGAGCCAGGAGTAACCCCTGAGCATCGCCAGGTGTGACCCGAAAAGCAAAAAAAAAAAATAAAGAGTCTCTTGGGCCAGAGATAGTACAGCTAGGGGAGGGCGCTTGTCTTGCATGCAGCCTACCTGGATTCGATGCCACACATGATCCCCTGATTACTGTCAGGAGAGGTCCTTGAGCACAGAGCTGAGAGTGACCTTGGAGTAAGCTCTAGGCACCACCCACACAACTGAAACAAACAAAATGATGAGTATCCTTGGGGCCAGAGAGACAGTACAGGAGGTGAGGCACAGTGCCTTCCTTGTATCCAATAGCCAGGGGTCACCCCTGCGGGCCACAAAGTGGGGTCTGGAAACAA